ACTCAAATATTTTCATGATTTATCCCACATACCCCGAAACACGAGTAGCCATAGTGACCATATTTTTCATCAAAGTTAAGATGGTCAATGACATTTGGCAGTCTCACGCCCGGTGATCTGATGAAATGAACGAAGGGGGGAGTAGCTGATTTTCGGTAAATTCAACAAATGTTGAAGATTTATTTTTTAAAGCAAAAGTTTACAATTGAATGGCTACATGAATAGGTGCAGTGCACAGGGAAATATGTTCGGTCTTCTTGGATTTTTTTTGAACTGATGGAGTTCTAAGATAAAAGGTCTATTAAAAAAGGCGCAGCGTCGCCAACGTGCAAATGCCATTACCGAAAATCAGCTAGATCTACTCCCCCCTCCGTTCATTTCTTCTGATCACCAGGCGTGATTCTTATTTGAGACTGTATTTAACACCTCCTGTGAAAATTTGAATGAAGAGGGCACAAAACTCTTAGTTTGAGAGGGCTTTTCTCTAAACTAACAGTATCGATTGACCTGGAATTTGAAAACAATTATAGAGACTACTTTTCCATGTTTTTCCAACACGGTTACAGTAAGAGAGTTGGCACAATGGGGGAACTTTTTCTTCATAATTAGCCTTCTTTAATTCTAGATACCATATACCATATTTTCTAAAATACCATATACCATATTTTTTACACCTCTTATACCATATACGATAAATTTTGCCCCCTCTTATACAATATACAATAAATTTTCAGCCTCTTATACGATATACAATATCTCTATACACCCCCCCCCAACAAAGATGTGAAGTCTTCCGTGAATTTTCGAGTGATACCCTTCTGAGTTATTCGAATAATTTAAAAAGGCGCGACGTCACCAGCGTGCAAAAAGTCAATATTTTTTGGTATATAACTCAAACGACGCAGGTCTAAGACCTGTAATATATACGTTGACGCAATTATCACAAAATATATGTAGTTGCCGTTTTACAAAACGTTATAAAAATAATATAAAACACCGCCGTCTTTTTTCGAAATCAAATAAGATTTGGCATATTTTTATTAGTGATTCAATAAACTGACTTCAATTCCAATTCGAGTACAGTTCACTTCGAATCCCTCCATTTTAATGAGGAAAAATATTTCTAAACGTTGGAGGGGAGTAAAGGTTCAATCTGTACCTTCCAATAACGCTTTGCGTAAAATGTAATGTCAAAACAAATAGTTACCCCTCAGGGCAATTAGTTTCAAAACGTATAGTAAAAACGTAAAACGTGATATGGTCGGATGAAATATAGATATTGCATGTTTGTCTACCAAAATTGGTCAAGTTCTCGAGACCTATTCATTTTCAACGTATTTTCATGGAATAAACATACTAACTATTACAGAGAAAGACTTAACTCGGTTGACCCGACTAGCTGCTTACAGGATGGACAAGCTATGTGGCCACACTGTACAGTTAAATATAGACAAACTTGTAATGTTATTGAACATAATTGAGATGTATAAGCAAATTAATTATATAAATCATTTAGCTTTGAACACGTGGATGGTTGAGCATACATACCAAAAAGTGAGTTAAATATTGTGAGCGTTTGCATGACGCCATCAAGGCGGTTCGGCCGATATCCAGGCGTTCCGGCCGGTGAAAACCTGGTGAGGGGATGGTATGCGCCAGTTGAGAACACGGCGAGAACGGTAAGCAAGAATTCTGAAACACGGTAAGTCCGGTACAAGGCCGATGAGAAGCCGGTACAGACCCGGAATAGAACGGTATAGTCCCGGTCAAAAATGTATAAAAACAATGCGGCCGTCGCCGTCTGGCCATAATTAGCCAAACGGTGGCGAACGGTGAGCCTACACGGCTAGTGTGACCGCTACTTGAGACAACCAGAGGACGAGGTTTTTTAACGGACAGCGGCCGAGCTCCGGCCGATGTGGGACAGAGCATCGGCCGGTCACTGTTCAAAGCCCGTTAACAACCCGGCCGGCAATCGCACGGTGTCCTGTTACCTGCTCGGGTACCGGCCGTATTCCTTCCGATGTCCGGCCGATCTCCGGCCGGTAGTTGCTGCCACATCGGCAGAAAAAACTACCATTATGAGACAGACTCCGTACGGTCACCGGCTGGTGTTCGGTCGGTCGCCTGAAGATGTCCGGACGGAGTCCGTTCACGTCACCGAGCTCTGCTTCCGATGAGGAGAGCTCGGTGGCACCAAAAAAATCCACCGAGCTCTACCGATGCCGGACATCGGCCGGGCTATGTGACTAGGCCATTAGTTGTGCATATACTTAATGGAGTGTTCACGGCTTTTGAAGATTTATCATAATATAATGACAAAGCGGATTAGCTTTATTAATGCCATAGTTTTAGATAGGATTAGTATCGATTTTTTTATTATTATTTATTTATTTCGGAACTACGCTTTTACAACAGCGGCACACAAACTTAGATTTGCGTATATAACATACGCTCATGAAACTTGACTTAAATTTTGATTAAAATCATTATATGTATCATTGGTTAAAAATGATTAAAATAATTTCAACTACACTTGTGGAGTGCCAGTAAGGACTTTTTTAGTTAAACTATCAAATCTAAATCTTACTTTATGTCCCCCAATTTTGAATGCCTCATCACCCAAATAACCACTTTAGTTTTGCCATGGGGTCTATTTTGGTTAAATATATAAATGGGGTATGGAATGACTGACTAAGCTCTTATGGAATTTGTTTCGTTGTTCATCATGGTGTTTACAATGTAGTAATCTATGTTCAATTGTCTCAACATCCGAAGGACAGAAATCTTAGATGGTTGATTTTTCATTTTCATTTCATTTCATTTGAGTTACAAGTATCTCACACAGACATCATATGGCATATATGTGTGGTAGGATAATGTAACTTGATATTTCAAGGTAGAAGCAGCTCCCCGTATAAATCTAACAGGAGCTAAAGGTCAAAAGTACCTACGCAGAGGATACAGAGGACAATAAGCAGCTATGTGCATGTATAACTAATCCATAAAGAGCAATGTATGTGCATGTATAGCTTGTCAATATATGACAATAAACATGTATGGCTGTATAACTTGTCAATATAGGACAATAAACATGTATGGCTGTATAACTTGTCAATATAGGACAATAAGCATGTATGTACCTGTATAACTTGTCAATATAGGACAATAAGCATGTATGTGCCTGTATAACCTGTCAATATAGGACAATAAACATGTATGTACCTGTATAACTTGTCAAAATAGGACAATAAGCATGTATGTGCCTGTATAACCTGTCAATATAGGACAATAAACATGTATGTACCTGTATAACTTGTCAATATAGGACAATAAGCATGTATGTACCTGTATAACTTGTCAATATAGGACAATAAGCATGTATGTGCCTGTATAACCTGTCAATATAGGACAATAAACATGTATGTACCTGTATAACGTGTCATTATAGGACAATAAACATGTATGTACCTGTATAACTTGTCAATATAGGACAATAAACATGTATGTACCTGTATAACTTGTCAATATAGGACAATAAACATGCATGTACCTGTATAACTTGTCAATATAGGACAATAAACATGCATGTACCTGGATAACTTGTCAATATAGGACAATAAACATGCATGTACCTGGATAACTTGTCAATATAGGACAATAAGCATGTATGTACCTGTATAACTTGTCAATATAGGACAATAAACATGCATGTACCTGTATAACGTGTCAATGTATAACTTGTCAATATAGGACAATAAACATGTATGTACCTGTATAACTTGTCAATATAGGACAATAAACATGCATGTACCTGTATAACGTGTCATTATAGGACAATAAACATACATGTACCTGGATAACTTGTCAATATAAGACAATAAACATGCATGTACCTGGATAACTTGTCAATATAGGACAATAAACATGTATGTACCTGGATAACTTGTCAATATAGGACAATAAACATGCATGTACCTGGATAACTTGTCAATATAGGACAATTAACATGTATGTACCTGTATAACTTGTCAATAAAGGACAATTAACATGTATGTACCTGTATAACCTGTCAATATAGGATAATAAACATGTATGTACCTGTATATCTTGTCAATATAGGACAATAGACATGTATGTACCTGTATAACTTGTCAATATAGGACAATTAACATGTATGTACCTGGATAACTTGTCAATATAGGACAATTAACATGTATGTACCTGTATAACTTGTCAATAAAGGACAATTAACATGTATGTACCTGGATAACTTGTCAATATAGGACAATTAACATGTATGTACCTGTATAACTTGTCAATAAAGGACAATTAACATGTATGTACCTGTATAACTTGTCAATAAAGGACAATTAACATGTATGTACCTGTATAACTTGTCAATAAAGGACAATTAACATGTATGTACCTGTATAACTTGTCAATATAGGACAATTAACATGTATGTGCCCAACTTGTCAATATAGGACGATAAGCATGTATGTACCTGTATAACTTGTCCATACAGGACAATTAACATGTATGTACCTGTATAACTTGTCAATAAAGGACAATTAACATGTATGTACCTGTATAACTTGTCAATAAAGGACAATTAACATGTATGTACCTGTATAACTTGTCAATAAAGGACAATTAACATGTATGTACCTGTATAACTTGTCAATAAAGGACAGTTAACATGTATGTACCTGTATAACTTGTCAATATAGGACAATTAACATGTATGTACCTGTATAACTTGTCAATAAAGGACAATTAACATGTATGTACCTGTATAACTTGTCAATAAAGGACAATTAACATGTATGTACCTGTATAACTTGTCAATAAAGGACAATTAACATGTATGTACCTGTATAACTTGTCAATAAAGGACAGTTAACATGTATGTACCTGTATAACTTGTCAATATAGGACAATTAACATGTATGTACCTGTATAACTTGTCAATATTAGGACAATTAACATGCATGTACCTGTATAACTTGTCCATAGAGGAGCTTCTTTCCAAGCTGCCTTCCCTGTTCTGATTTATTGTCTTCATTCTCTGCATCCGCCGCCAACTAAAATAAGATTAATCAGATGAGAAAATCACAATAGTATTAAAGATAAATTGTCTCAAAACCATACATTTCTCGCGATCGGAAGTACATTTTTACCTAAAACTAACAAAATGAAAGTTTTGATGAATGTTAAAAATCAGATGAAAGTAATAGTTCAATCAGATTCAGACCCGATTTAGGTAATAGATAACAATATTGCAATGTAGCAACTCGAAACTCATCACATATCTGTATAGCTCCCTGTTTGCAATATGGCGACTTACACCGTTCTGAGCCAGAGTGGATCTCCAATTGAGATGAATGTGTTTGTTTATGCATCTATCGAGGACATATGTAACCTAACCTATCTTTTTAATAATATACTTAATATTTCAATGAATTATAGTTATTTTGTGAGCTAATTTCCCCTTTAAGCTTGCATTGAAATATTTTATTCAAATGTTTTTATAAACAGTTTTCTTGCTCTGACGTGTATGGCATTATTTTTGCTTCTTTATTCATTAAACTTAAATATATTCGATATATGAAATATTTATATTCGCTAAATAATTTTTCCATTTGGTAAAAACGTTTATATGTTTGTTATAGCAAATTAAGTTTTCAAATCAGCCAATCACTTAATACTATGTGCATTAAATTATAAATTTCATTCGCTAAATGATATGCTTCTTTGCGTAAATTGATATGGTATTCCTCAAGAGTAACACATTATATGCGCAATATTGAATTTCTATTTGAACCCTGCCGAAATAAGGTTGCCTATATTTACCAAATTGTTTATTTTTCTATGACATAGTTAATCCATTTTACCGAAAGCTAATTTGCTATTTACCGAATGTAAAAAGTAATATTCGATAACTTTCGTTGTTGTTCGATATTTTGTCACGTACTGTAATCTCGAGATTTGCAAAATGGCCGCGCAGCCATTCTACATCGTTCAAATATATCACGTAACTGAAAGTCTCGTAAAGTATCGAAAAATAAATTTACCGAATGTGGCATTCGGTATTTACCGAATATATATAATTTAAATACCGAATATACAAATAATTTATTGAATTATAAGTGTGTTAAGGAAAACAAATTGATTCGCTGCATCACACAAATACATGTATACATATCAAATGTGAATGCCAACACAAAGAACAAGTAAAACTATTTAGCGAACATGAAATGTATAGATTATTACATTCGATAGAATAAAAAAACATTCGATAGATTTGTTAAAGGTTTGGCAAATTGTTTGTTTTATTTGGTATTTATGGAATATTTAATGTATCGAATAAAGAAGCAGTTTAAACACCATAGACGTGCTGGAGCAAAATACTATTCGCATCAAATCAAGATAAGTATTGCCATGGTCGGTTCTGGGCTACACTGAACGAAATGTTACCTTGGCTTGGGATGACTGGTTCTTGAGTTGAAGGTCATTGGGAGCGGCTTCGGACTTCTCCAACAATTTCCGATGTTTTTTATTTAACTTGTATCTATTTGGCACACATATTTTAAAACTGACCACTGAAAATAATAAAACATTGGATAGATATATAACGTACGAGACGCTTTCATTCATTAGTAACAATTTTGTGGTACCCTTAATTAAATCTAGAATGGCTCCAGAGATACGTGGTTGTAATTTTGGGCTCACACATATTCTAAATAATTGGTTTGAATTATAAAACCAAGCCCTGCTTCAAGCCTGTTCATTAAATGCATTGATTTTCATATTAGCTACAGAGATGTTTCTAGTAAAATTAGACAAAATGATAAAATAACTTTTTGTTGGCTCTATATTGTTTAATTATATTATGGTAAAAACTTGAGTTTTTACAATTTTATTTAAGTATGCCTGCCGGTTCCCAGAATGTCTTTACAGGATACGGGGACCTGTAATGTTTTTGCTGAGCTACAATAAGGTACCGGCCATTACGAAATGCAGATTTGTTGCTTACCTTGGGGATCGGGGATGTCTGGCTTCTCCCTTTCCTGTCTGCCATAAACACCAAGCTCTGAGTGGATCGTGCTGAAAACAAGATAACAGGGGAATCGTTACACAGATTGAGATCGTTGCCATAAACACCCAGTTCTGAGTGGATCGTGCTGAAAACAAGATAATAGGGGAATCGTTACACAGATTGAGATCGTTGCCATAAACACCAAGCTCTGAGTGGATCGTGCTGAAAACAAGATAACAGGGGAATCGTTACACAGATTGAGATCGTTGCCATAAACACCAAGCTCTGAGTGGATCGTGCTGAAAACAAGATAATAGGGGAATCGTTACACAGATTGAGATCGTTGCCATAAACATCCAGTTCTGAGTGGATCGTGCTGAAAACAAGATAACAGGGGAATCGTAACACAGATTGAGATCGTTGCCATAAACACCCAGTTCTGAGTGGATCGTGCTGAAAACAAGATAACAGGGGAATCGTAACACAGATTGAGATCGTTGCCATAAACACCCAGTTCTGAGTGGATCGTGCTGAAAACAAGATAACAGGGGAATCGTAACACAGATTGAGATCGTTGCCATAAACACCCAGTTCTGAGTGGATCGTGCTGAAAACAAGATAACAGGGAAATAGTCACACGGAGTGAGAGCTTTGCCATAAACACCCAGCTCTGAATTCACAGGAAAACAGGTATTTAGAATATTACTGTTCCGTTCGTTTCAGATCAGAACTAGCTACAAGCTTCTCTTGTTAAGGAATGATCAATTTGGTAATCGCTTGTGGTGATTTCTTTCCTCCGATATATAAAGTAGCTCGTAAGAAATTAATTAAAATGAATTTAGACGAGGCATGATTTATCACAAGATTTACACTCAAGTATCATTGCATTGGCTTTTGGCTGTGTGACAGTGATACCTAGGATTACTGATACGCGATTACAATTATGTTTGTATCTGCTCGATAAAGAAACATATCAAGCCATAATTATTTGATATCTGATAAATAAACACCACTATATCTGATGACTGGCAATTTATTTCTTAACACTACAAATAATTCATTGCACTGCCGATCATCCGGACTTCTAAGAATATCACTTTTGAAAAATGAACAGATATTCACCTCAACTAAAATGAAATATTTGAATATAATATTGGAATATGTATACTCGAAATCAGGATATTGCTGATGCATACTTAAAATGCATTTGAGACCACCATAAATACAGCGAACATCACAGAGCCATCTATAAATAGGCGCCCCGATCGACCAATTATCTGTTAATACAGCACCAAACAGAAAATATACAGTATGTATTCTAAATATATTGTTTGTGTTATACCTATATATAGGATATAGATAGATTATACTTATTTCCGTGATTACTAAACCAGCACATGACTACGTTTTAAGTAAACATTTTGTTTCATATTTGAGTCATGGATAATACCCTCATATGTATAAACTACTAGGTTATTGCATTCACATAAGTGAATGAAAAGTTATTTCTGAACAAATTCGATACAAAATTAGAATTACTCAACGCAGGATTTGGGTTTAAGAATGTCCTTGTGGCATTAATAATCTCAAAATGTTATTGTATGACAATGATTGCAGATAACACATCCATAAAATGTTATTGTATTACGTCAAAAATTGCAGTTACTCGTACTTAAACATCTTAACTGTGGTTGACGAAAGTATTATGAATAATTGAAATTCGCAAATGATGACAATCGTCATTTTATTTTGCTTTAATAAATAATTTACCTAGTTTGGTAGCTGAACACAAATCCGTATGACTCCTCAGAATATAAACAGACCACGTCTCCGACACATAAACTGTCACCCGCCATCTTGGTTTTTATTTATCACATTCTGCCATTGTAGTAAATGTAGTAAATCGTTACTGTATTCACTGATAAGTTCTTATTTATAACTTATGATCCTTTTGTTTCAAAATTTCACCTGCACTTAACTTGACCAGTGTACCCGATCCCAAATATTACATGTGAACTTATATCCTTCAATTATTAACACATTCGGATTAGGAGAATTCTCCTCATTTGCCTGCTAATCTCCAATATTGACTTATTTATTTTCTTTCATGAAAAGGCCAGGTTTAATGCTAGGGGTTCAATGCATCGATTATGAGTTGCTATAGCGCATTGTACACAATCCCATATAAAGACCGACTCGTATGGGTGAAATGTATTGAACTTGTTTTACTGTTATTTTCTGAAGTTGAAATCCATTTATAGAAATTCTATACATTGTTATATTATACACATATTGTATTTGTTGTAAATGCGCTTGTTAGCCCCTTGCAAATCATTAATGTAGATGATGGACTACCTGTAGTCCCTACGTGCTTCCTGAGATGTGTCTGTGATGTGTATATACATGAAGTCTGCATTTTACATACTTTTAAAAGTAAATAGATACATAAAATAGTTATATCTACTTGTATATAACTTTATTTATACGACTGATATAGACAAGAAGTACCATCATTTGTTTTAAACTGTACAGCTCTTTTAAACGTTTAGTATACCCGTCCTGCCCTGTAAGGTATAATTTAACATCAAACGTTCAATAGGAGTTTTATTAACTAGTTCAATATATAAAATAGGTACCAAGAAAATGAAAGTTATCAGATCGTTATGCACAAGTCAGTGCTGGCATCTTTAAATACACCGAAATAGTATAATATTATAACAATTATAAAACTGCACCTTGAAAAATATTTTACGAAATTAGGGCATAGCATTTTTAGGTCAGCAGCTGAGCAAATTTAAAAAAATAAGTTTGTCCCCTAAGTTTCTCACTGGATTCATGTAGAGCAAGGTCTCGGGCTTATTTTGAGCTTGGGTTCTCTGTCCTAGCCCTGGCAACGAATGTGAAAAATGGTCCTATAGGTGGCGCCCCCTACAATTCACCCCCAAACTTAAAACTGATTATTATTTTCATAACTGAAACATAAAGACATCTCAAATAGCTTAAATTGATCAATGGTACATTAAAGTATGCATTAAATTTTTTTTCAATGTGTGAAAATCATAATTTATGGAGAAATAGTTGATTAACCCCTTAAAACGCCCCCTATTTTAAAGGGGATACTTAAGTTAACTTCCGTAACTTTTGTGTTATTCAGGATTTGGGCTTAAAAATATTCCTGAATATGTACAATTATAGTGTTGAGAGACTGCAGTAACCCTATGTTCATAGCTTTATAACTTTTTGAGAAAAAAATAAAACGTATTTCCATATAATTTGGATTTGTATTATTTTCAGATAAACCATTATCTATACTTTTTAACTTACTTTCCACACCTTATACCCATGCATAGTATTAATACTTTTCTTTCATTTTAGACCAATATAAATGACTGTAGTTCACTTAAAATAAATAATAATAAAAAATTTAAGCAGAAATTATTGATTTACCTCTTAAAACACACCTTATATAGGGATACATACACCATAGCTTCTATAACTTTCTGTAACGTATGTTTCGTTCAAGATTTAGGCTTGCAAATATCCTTGAATTTGAAGACTTGCCTTTGCTCCTAAATAAATAAATAATTTACCATATGCTGTTGTCTTTGTAAATTATCTCAAATTCAGATTCTGTTGTCATTGACGATATCGAAGACGCTATATTGTGGCGATTCACGACCCCATTTGATAGAAGTTTGGATTTCATATAATACATCATCACATGAGCTAATACATGCACAGAATTAGTGATGATAAAATCCCATGAAAAACGAGGACCAAGTGATTAAAGAGTTGAAGCGACAGTTATGTCCGGCATTTGTGAAAACGGTATCTGACTTTATCAAATACTCACCTTGACCCATTGGAATATGGCTTCGTTCTTGAAAATGATCTTGATACAAAGGATATTCTGTATATCACCTGATGATCTGATTTTACAATGTAATAAACCAGATGCGAATAGGCAGTTACCAGTTTCACCGCTGGGAGGCTAATTCTGGGCCGAACATGGCAGGGTATTAGAAAGTTCCCCTAAACTTGAATATTCATCAGCTTTAGTGTTTCAATTTTTATATCACCTTATGTATCTGATAGTTATATACAGTACAAATTAAAAAATATGCCCAGTAAAAGAAAATATTATCTGTCCAATACAAGCAAAGATATTTCACTTCTTGTGATTTTATTAACATGGGACTCTATGGAGAATCTCTTTGACCTAGAAATTGCATTTTCAAAGAAAATTAAATTTTCAAAGTTGCAAAAACACATTCCTAGATGTAATTTTACATGTAGATTTCAAATATGATATCACTTTGACTGAATTTTTAATTTTTAATGGCGCAAATCAAGATTATTTCTACTTCCATCTAATTTATTATAGTAAGTGTGGTACAAAACAGATTATGTGAACTGAACAAAATTAATTGTTGCATGTTTTGTAAGTGCAAGGGAAGTGGTAACTGTAATTACCGTCTAATCAAGCTTTTAGAAAGTGTTGTAAGTAATGCATGAACTTATTAATCTGATGTCACTGTGATACTGTATGTATGTTTTTTCGAAGAATCATCATAACACAACCAGCAGAAAGTATTTTTCTTCGTATGTTGTATCTTTGTTTCTATTGGTCAGGAAGATGAGAAATAATTATATATTTGTTTAAAGTGTACATGCATTAATATTTCTCCATAAACAAAGAAAGGTATTTATTGGTTGTGTTGCAGGAATTGTGCCAGCACAACCCAGTCAATAAGGTCAGCACAATACAAAAATATTATTACACATACCATATCCCTAGTTGGTTTTTCAATAGTCTTAACTGAACCCCTAGTAAGCTAAAGACTGAAAGAGGTGCTGTAATATCCTTTTTTGGTTCTTTGGTTATTTTATAGCCTTAGTGCTATCATAATATGCACTGGTTGTGCCATAATACCCCATATTTGTTTCATTATATCCCTTATCAATTACTTAGTATACCCAGAGAGCTTTAATTAGTTTCTAAATACCCATTAGTGCTTCCTAATATGCCTTGTAGTGCTCTTTAGGGGCTAACAGAACACCATGATGACCTACTTGGAACCATCATGAGCTTTCAAGAGAAAGCCCATCGAACCAATCAGGGTATCTAGGAAACCATGAAGGAATACTGCAGCACCACAAGGCATACTAGGGTCTCCAAGAGCTATGAATTTAAACACTTCCTGGGTATACTAGGGAATCGCTAGAGGCTACATGGAACCAATGTGGGTGACAAAAGCACAAGGGCATCTTTGGGAATCACTAATGGATATTAAAGTACCAATTGTGGCTATCAAAGCACCAGCAAGGCATATTAGGGAGTACTAGGGCAGATTTAGCAACCAATAGGGATTATTAAAGCATCACTAAGCAAACTGAGGAATCACTTAATGTTATTAAGGACCCAATTTTGGGTATCAAAGTTCAATCAGAGCCAATCAGGGCATACTAGGTTATCACTTTAAAAGGAACCAATTTGGGATATTAAACCACAACCAGCCATAGTCAGTTATTGCTAAGGTTATTTCATGAACCTGATAGGAGTTAAGCACAACCAAGCATCAAAAAGGTCTTTTAGGAAACATATGTTTAAAGCACAACCAGACGACCAACTTAAGGAACCAATTTGGTGTATTAAACCACAACCAGGGCATACTACATGTTGGTAATTGCTAAGGCTATTTTATGAACCAATGGGGGAAATCAAAGCACAACCAAGCATACAGAAGAATCACAAAGGTCTTTTAGGAACCATATGTTTAAAGCACAACCAGGATATACATAGGTTATTGCCTAGACTATTGATGAACCAATAAGGGTTATTAAAGCACAACCAGGGCATGCGATCTTATCACTAAGGCCATTACTAAAGCTATTAAAGAACCAAACAGGATTACTAAAACAACACCAAGCATTCTAAGTAGTCCCCAAGGGCTACTAAGGAATCAATAGGGGTTATTAAAGCACAACCAGACACCAAGCATTCTAAGCAGTCCCCAAGGGCTACTAAGGAATCAATGGGGGTTATTAAAGCACAACCATGGCATACTGGTTATCAGTAAAGATATTAAGGAATAAAAGGGGGCTATTAAAGCACCTCCATAATCACCAAAGGCTATAGAAGAGCTAATTGGATATCTATTTATCATTTTTGTATTGTGCTGACACAATTTACTGGGTTTTGTTGGCACAATCACTACAACACAACCAGTAAATATCTTTCTTTGTATGGAAAAATATTTATATCTGTACACTTTAACTTTATGTGCATACGGTGTTTCATATGTATACATCCCCAATAAACTCATACATGTCATATTGCCACACCATCATGTTATATATATTTTGCTCCTTATATGGAAAGTTACATAAGATTGCAAAGTTTCAGAATCCAGCGGTATCCCTGAAAAAAGAAATGCTGTATCAAAGTATGTGTGTACGGGTCATTTCGAGGGGAATTTCTGGTCAGTTTGAAGGCACTTTTAAGGGGAAATTGAGTTTCTGTATTGCAAATTTCAAACAGTTGTCATCATAGCAGAGTTCAGTGCACATGAGTGTGACAGTTATGCGCAAAGATGTATAGATAGGATTCTTGCAGTGGCTAATGGAGAGGCCAGGGACCCTGGTGCAACCTCTATAATTAAAAATGGATATGAGAAAAAGTGCACAGATCACCGGCCTGGGTCCAAAAATCACCAGGAAATGCCCTCTAAATGACCCCGTACCCGCAATCTTTGATACAATGTATCTTTTTTCAGCGATATACCTCGATTCTGAAACTTTGCAATCTTATGTAACTTTCGATATGATACATAAAATGATAGGGTAGCAATGCTAGATGTATGAGTTCATGGGGGGGTGCAAAGATATGAAATACCCTGTATGTGCATTATTACTTCTCATCTTTCAGATCACTTGATGAAGCAAACAAAGATAAATAAATGTACCTCTTGATTGTGTTGACGTGATTGTGTCAGCACAATTCAGTCATTGTAACAGCACAATCCAAAAAACAATATATGTTAAGTAGTAATTGTTTTAATTACTTTACATGTTAGTAAGTAACCTGCAAGGAGAGATTGAATCTTTAATTATATAAGCCCATACATTGGTTCATCCTCTTGGAATGCATGCTAGAGTATTTAAAACTCAGTTATTGGATTGTGGATCTTGGTGAAAACATGGACTTAATGGTCGCTAGGAAATATATCAGGTTTGGTGTTGTCTCATGATGTAAAATCGATTATAATTTTGCTTTTATTCAGAAATGTTGGATGGTTTACACTTGCTATTAATATTAAACTCACCATTATGAATACCAGCATATTAAAACATTCATTGCCAAACATCATAAGCTTTCAATGCATGTGAATTTCAAAAATATTTCCTTAGTCTCCCACACACACTCTTTAAAATAGGGGGCATTTTAAGGGGTAAATCAATTATTTCTGCTTAAATTTTATTTTATTATTTATTATTATAAACTATTATACACTCCAGTCATCTATATTGGTCTAAAATGAAAGAAAACTATCAATACTATGCATGGGTATAAGGTGTGGAAAGTAAGTTAAAAAGTATAGATGATGGTTTATCTGAAAACAATACAAATCCAAATTATATGGAAATACGTTTTATTTTTTTTCTCAAAAAGTTATAAAGCTATGAACATAGGGTTACTGCAGTCTCTCAACACTATAATTGTACATATTCAGGAATATTTTTAAGCCCAAATCCTGAATAAAACAAAAGTTACGGTAGTTAACTTAAGTATCCCCTAAAAAATAGGGGGCGTTTTAAGGGGTTAATCAACTATTTCTCCATAAATTATGATTTTCACACATTGAAAAAATTTTTAATGCATACTTTAATGTACCATTGATCAATTTAAGCTATTTGAGATGTCTTTATGTTTCAGTTATGAAAATAATAATTAGTTTTAAGTTTGGGGGTGAATTGTAGGGGGCGCCACCTATAGGACCATTTTTCACATTCGTTGCCGGGGCTAGGACAGAGAACCCAAGCTCAAAATAAGCCCAAGACCTTGCTCTACATGAATCCAGTGAGAAACTTAGGGGACAAACTTATTTTTTTAAATTTGCTCAGCTGCTGACCTATTTTAACGATACTCCTTTTTACACTGCTAAATTGTTAGACTGGTACAAAAATCTTCGTTTTGATCTTCATTTAATCTCGAAGCTTCTTGTGGAATCGCAACGACTGAAGCAATTTAACACACAATGTAATAGGAGGTACTACTGCTTACACCAATGGTCATTTATCATGTTATTCGTTTGTTATGTCGTACTTTTGAATTTAATATTTTGTCTTTCCATTAATTTGCTGAGAGCAAATAGAGCAAATTAAAGAGAGAATCAGATCTAGTGAGCAAGCTAAACAATTTTTGGGCCTCAATGTCATTCCTTGGTTTATGTTTTAAAAATCACCAAGGTGCATTCTTTATTTGAGGAAAAATGAAGATTTTTTAATAATGTATTATTTTTTAATAATTATGGTTACCATTTTTATTATTTGGAAGAATTTAAACATTTTCCCCCATTTTTGCACTTCGAAACCTAATAATGACCTCACCGATTTCATAACATATCGCGAATCATTTAGGAGATATTTGTATTTGAGATTGTGAAGAATTGATACATGTAGGTCAAATTTAAATGTTGATTGCAATTTTGTCACCCCTGTAGATCTGATCACGGGATTGCCAGTTCTAGCTCCTTGCGCTTTGTGTAGTAAGCGTATGCAGGTATGTTAATTTAAGTAACGATGGGAGGAGCCTGACCATAGCCATGAAAATGGGTTTGGAATACGAAGAGATAGGTCAAATGTTCCTATCATCGGAATTGTCAATGAAACCTTCGCCTCAAGTCCATCTGTCCAACTTGCTTGCGCATCAACTTCTAAACCAGTTCCCAGGGCTTCAAATCTACCACTAACCTTAAGCCCAGTATTATCAATAGAGCCACGGAACCCGCCTCTAGCCAATCCACCACCAAAGACCTCCATTTCGCCATCTACTACAACGCCATCGTGACCCAAAGAGGCATATGCTCTTACATACGTTCTGATCAAAGGGATTCTGAAGTCTAAGGGACCCGCTTTAAGTTTATATTTCTCTCCGATGGTCAATGATCCAGAGGCGCTGACCTTAATAGGAATATAACTAAACATGAAGGCCCGATCTACAGTTGCAGCGACTCTAAGTCCATTTCCAGAAACGAATTTTACTTGGAAATTAACATTTGAGCTACAGACTCCGTAAAGACACATTCCATACGACCAGGCTAGATTTGGTTCCACTGCACTCAATCTTCCTTTCATAACAAGCCTAATAGCGTTCTCTATTTTGCCTATTGTATCAAAATGTTTCAATCCTTCTTCTAAATAGTACTGGATGTTTTCGACCTTTTCGTTCACTGCTATCCAGTGGTCAAGTTTTCGTATCGCATCATTCAGGAATGGATTTACTTCATCTATTGCATCGTTCAAAGATTCGACATAAGATTTATCACCATTTGTTTCGAATATGCCATCAACCTCGAACTCCCTCCATTTGAATAATCTCATGTGTTCGTACCTAAAACAGAAGTATTTCTAAATTGGATTTGCAAATGCTGTGGTCATGATTCAATATATTTGTACGTATACATTATTAAAAGGAATTTTCCACACCATATACATCACATAGGCGTAGCCAGGGGGGATGCCCCCATAACCAATAAAAAATAAAACCATGAAAAAGAAGAAGAAAAGAGCTTCAAATTTTGAAGGAAGTTGCAACAATTTTTGTAAAATCCAAAATAAATCTTCTTTTGGCTTGTTTATGCCACAATCGCACCCCCTGAGTGAAAACCGAATTTTTTGGCGATCGCACCCCCCCCCCCTGACTGATATTAGATATACCTTGCCGCTCGAGATTGCCACACCAACGACAATACCACTAGCAAACCGCCGAAATGGCACATCGCATTCATACCGGACTTCTGTTGTCTGAACCAATGTTAGTTGTGAATCGTTTGACCTATGATCAGATGATTGAGATTGTTATTCCTTATTCTAATGATGTAATGCTCGTTTGTACTTTGTTCGGGACTTTGTAATGTTCTTTCCTTGTCGAATGGAGCAGTAAGTCCAACGCCTCTTTGTCTCTCTAGCTAAAGATTCTAAATTCGACGTGATGCAGTAAGAAAATAACACGTTGCGTTTAGTTGCTAATAGGGGAATCCCCGTAATGAAAATACAAGGTATGTTATGGTGGATGAGGCAATAAAATTTATATCGCTTATCATGTTGTAGAATCGATTCTTGTTAATTTGAAGATATCAAGGTTATTACCAGCCTGGATTTTATAAGGTTATAATAACGTCCTTCATATCAAGGAGGATTGGCTCCCAGATTGCAACATCGATATTCTGTCCCATATGAGCAGTCCTAACGAAAAATTCTAAAACTCACAAGAAATGATCGAGATATTGGTTCGAATCTTCTGAACTGTTTATTATGAATTTATACTCGGTTATTATTTCAGAAAATAACGACGTGACATTAAGACGTTTTCATTGTTTGGATTCTGGGAGCCAACCATCCTTGCCTCATATATTACTTTGGATTTTCGAGACATTCTGAGCGATTTCAAGTTCTGGGAAGTGGTATTGATTTATATAGGCCTACTGGTTTATTTATTTTACTTCATGAATATACGTTGTCTCTAACATTGAAACTGCTAAAGTCATAATTACAAATGCTAATTTTGTATTATGAAATCGGTGAAAAGAAGAATGATTTTACATCTGAAGAGGCTCACTGTGTAAAAAACACGTCACTCACGCAGTCAATTATATACGTGTCGACTTTTGGCTTGCAACCGAAGATACCTCAAGAAAAGCCGGAGATAACCGAAGATTTTCTTTGCAAACGAAGTTGACCGAGGGTACCACGAATGTGAAATGGACGTCTCTAATTGGTCAAAAAGAGAGGCTCGGCATTCTCTGTCAGATTGAATCGGCAAATTTCGGTTGTATGGCTTACCTTCGGTTGTATGGCTTACCTTCGGCTGCATGGCCGAACCTACTATTTACCGTTTCTTTTGTGCAAATATTAGCCAAAAACAAATAACTTAGAGAACAGCATAAATGACGATCGATGTATAAAGTCCATTTCACTGTTTTATTGCGCCAGTAAACCCATGGGCTCTATCTATGGTACATACATTGTAGATAGAGTGGAAAATATATTCATATTGTCTGAGACCATCATCTATGTTAGTCTCAGATATTGTACACAAAAGACATTTGTATATTTCGGATAACAGGTATTTAGTTTTTTGTGCAATAAACCCGCGGCCTCTTGTAATTTAACGAGTTTCAGAAATATTAATCTTTTTGAAAATAACATGGCAGAGAAGCATCGAAAGGAGGAGGGAAAGTACCGCAACAGATTTCAAACAGTCATAATGTTCAATTTTGGCTATTTTCTCAGGATTAAAACAGGTGCATATGTTAGGCCAATGCATTATCTCCATGAAAAGCACTCTTAGAGATGATAAAATAATTTTGACTTTGAGACAGGGAAGATGCAAACAACCCATCCACATGTTTTTTCTGAAATGTTGTCCTAACTTTCAACCCCTTCCATCCCTGTTTTTCCAATTTTTGTTGCATCAATATGTTGCGTTTTGACACACAATTAAACCCTTTAAAGGAATAAATAATTCCTCCAGGGGTTTTAAAGATATCCATTATGGGTGACCAAAATTAGCTGAAAGTAATGGATCGCATGAGTTTTCCCTATGGGAAAATAACATGGGGAATATTGTTTTTTGTTTTTCACTTTATAATTGATGCAAAAAATTGAAAAAGCAGGGATGGAAGGGGTTGAAAATCAGGACATTTCAGAAAAAACATGTGATGGGTTGTTTGCACCTCCCCAGTTTCATCATTTTATCATCTATGCACCTGTTTAAATCCTCAGAAAATAGCTAAAATCCAATATATGACTGTCCAAAATCGGTCAGTGTCTGTTGTGATACTTTCCCTCCTTCTTAAGAATGCTGGCATATTTTTCAGACTGTACCAAAAATCAAGTTTGTTTACATAGAAGTTGATGGTTTCTTGCATTTTGTTGGTGCTGGAAAACCCTCATACATTTTAGTGAACGACAAAGGTAAATTCCAAAAATACGTAAAACTTCTCGATCGTGGCCTTCTCTCCCATTTTTGCCCGACCCAGAAAATGACTTGTCTTTCGGCAAGACCACGCGCCATCCCATGCCAACCGTGCATATTGAAATGTTCGGATAATGAGTTTTTGAATCTGGTCTGTTTTTACATACAACTGTATACACGATGGCTTTCCAGTGTGTACATTTTCTAGAAACTGACGCAAGAGGGTTTCGGAGATAACGAGAGTGAAAGTATGGCACATTTTTATGATATAGGGTGGCACAAAAACGCAATACGAAAATTAAAATTGAAATAATAAATTTATTCTAAAGTCAATAATACAAATTACATGTAGCCCCATTTTATATTTCTCCATCCGTATACACTGTACCCATCTTTACACTGTCCCCCATAAATCCTCATCGGTACACTGTACCCCATAAATCCTCATCGGTACACTGTACCCCATAAATCTCTTTTTCAACTGAAAGAATCTCATCATGAATGGACAATCTTGAACAGGTTCTCATGCAAGAACCTTTATATCAGATGTAACACATTTATTTGTGAGGTAAGAGATCAGTTTTATGATTTACATGATACACCAGAAAGTTAGACGATATACATGTACATGTAATGAAGGTCAATACCCGAACATTTCACATGAATACCCTTCTATTGCAGATAACCATCCTATTGTTGTTCAAGGATTGTAGTTTACACCATAGCCCATGATTTTAGTGACTTCACATTCAACTATGTTTAGCTCACTTTTAGAGCCAGAATTATTGAATTTAGTACAAAAGTAATACATTCCATTTCAATGACAAAATAGTGTATAGTACGAAGGGTGATCAATAAGTAATGGACTTTTTTTTACACAGATGTTTTTTATTGACCAATTTGATTTTTTCACCAGTGATACATCATTCAATAATCTATCAACTCTGAAGATTTGATAGCAAAACATGTAATATATTTTGATATATCTTTATTTCCGTGAAGGAGGTATAGGTACCCCAGGACCGACATAACGTCACACATTCTGAAGCTACTTTAGCTTGTTTAACATGCAATGCAGTTGAATGCAGGCTGAACAAACCTAACCATGATCGTCATGAATTACACCATTTTGATATGACATATTTGATTTTGAATAATTTATCATCACTATGTGGTATTCATGCCACATTCATTCTACAGGGCCCTCTGCATAGGTTCCATCAAGTGCTATATGTACACACTTCCTCATCATCTTAACCCAAGATTGTGAGACAAGGCCGAATCCATTCTCTGACGTGGAAGCAAGATGCAGTGGCACAGCTTGTTTTGTTTCATCAATGTCAATAAACCTGCTTCCTTTCTCTATAGGAATTAGTAATACTAGTATAGAAATAAATAAGTCACATGTGGGCAGATCTGGACAAAATGGTGCATTGGTCAAGGGCTCAATTGAGGTCCAGGGATATTGTATTCTGAACATTTTGAGATCTTTGGACAGGTGCGTTGTCCATATGGAGTAGGGTGTTCCCTTCTCTCACCAACCCCTTCTTCCACAATGTTTTCTCATATTGACCTGCAAACCCCAACCATACATCAGAATACTTACCGTTTATGTGTTACCAGTCAGCAATATATTTTAAACAACACAACACTTGTTGCATATCAAAAAGTTCAAATCTAACTGAAATGTCCCAGACTGGCTCAAAACTAAATGTGTGACATAAATGTGAGATCACCCCTCGTGTTATGCTCCATTTCAATATATAAACTTAATTTGATTGAACTGTCAACATTGCTCAGTTCAACCGTGGTTAACAATTATTATTTTGTGTCATGCACTTGAACGACTTCTTGAAACAATTGGTAAATGGTATGCTAGAATTAAACAGTTGATTATTTGACTGCGAATCTCTACTGACTAAAATGCTCACATTGTCTTCTTTAGTGACCATGATCATTTGTACTATTTATTTTCATCCTCTTGTAATCTACTAAACATTATTGGCATTACTGTCAACAGAACTAGCTTCAACTTCACTCCCATTACTGGGTTCAGTGTCTCTATCAGGCTCCGGTTGGAAGAGCTCAGACAGAACTAGCCTCAACTTCACTCCCATTACTGTGTTCAGTGTCTCTATCAGGCTCCGGTTGGAAGAGCTCAGACAGAACTAGCCTCAACTTCATTCCCATTACTGTGTTCAGTGTCTCTATCAGGCTCTGGTTGGAACAGCTCAGACAGAACTAGCCTCAACTTCATTCCCATTACTGGGTTCAGTGTCTCTATCAGGCTCTGGTTGGAAGAGTTCAGACAGAACTAGCCTCAACTTCACTCCCATTACTGTGTTCAGTGTCTCTATCAGGCTCCGGTTGGAACAGCTCAGACAGAACTAGCTTCAACTTCACTCCCATTACTGGGTTCAGTGTCTCTATCAGGCTCTGGTTGGAAGAGTTCAGACAGAACTAGCCTCAACTTCACTCCCATTACCGGGTTCAGTGTCTCTATCAGGCTCCGGTTGGAAGAGTTCAGACAGATCACCAATTGTAAAGTTAGTATCCTCAGCATTGTTAGTGTTCACTGGGGCAGACACAGTCTTCAACATAGCATGCATTTTCTCCTCTATGGTACCCCTGACAAGGAATCTATGAACTGTAGTTGCCCTGAAAATAAAGGATATCATTGTTGAGATGTAAAACTGTTGTTGCTTAAGTATATTTCCGGGGTGACCTGCTAAGCAAAGTCTTAAGAAGACTTTTTGAGCTATCTTAACAGAGAAACCTAGCAAAATGCTAGAATAGAGACTGTATTGTGCTGTTAATTGTAAAAACCTTTAAACCTAGTTCGATGTAAAAAGACTTAATTCAGAAGTTTGTAACAATGTAGTTTTGTGAGGGTTTACCTAGATGGTTTAACATGTGTTACCTGGTCTGACCTATTCTATGTACCCTTCCAATGGCTTGCAGTTCCTGACCTGGGTTAAGTATGTTACAATGTAGTATTGTGAGGGTTTACCTAGCTAGATGGTTTAACCTGTATTACCTGGTCTGACCTATTCTATGTACCCTTCCAATGGCCTGCAGTTCCTGACCTGGGTTAAGTATGGGTTCAACTAAGAAAACATGGGTAGCTTCAATAAGGTTGAGGCCATTAGCACCAGAATGGATTGGCAATAGTAAGACATCTACACCACTCTCTGCCTTAAACCTACTAAGATTGATCTGAAAATGAAGCACATAAAATAACATACATGTATGTATGTGTATACATGTACATATTCAATGCCATACACTATTTCTTTAAAAATAACACTTATACTAGATATAGTGCACAAATTCTCCTATTTCTTGAACTGGAACTACTTATGCCAACAAACCTGTGATTTCTTCCCAGCGTGTAATGCTACATGGGTGATTCCATTGTCTGATAATGCCTGGCCTATCACAGTGAGAATATCTACCCACTATAAATAAAAAATCAATATTTAAGGTATAAAGATTCTAACCAGAAATCGGCAAGTCCACGGAGTATGTAGCAAATCGCAATGAACAAAATATTCAGGAATCTGTAGGCATATATGTTGGAGATATGTAGCAGAATTTCCATTTAAGCATTTGGGTGACCAATTATGAGTTTCAAAGTACAAATCATAAAAAATACAATACTAAATATCGAGATCTTAGCATCATATTACCATGTGCTTTTTGACCTTCTGTTATTATCACATGATTCCACTAATCCAATAGCGTTACAGCAAACCATGAACTTATATGTCTGCGCATCAAATGAGTCGCGCCAAATTGAAAACTGTAACGTTATAAGTAACTGTATTATATATTGAAAATGGGGTTGTATTTTAAAAACAACATTTAATGTCTGATCAGGAAAAAAAGTTATTAAATGTGGTGAAAATAAAATATGTTGATGTAAACATATTTGTCTGTTCTTTAATTTCAAACACTGACCTAACGATTCAAAAGCATATTAAGGCAAAAGTTTGTGACATCCTATTCAAGAGGGAGCCATCCTATGCAAGTTTGAATTCAATGAGTGTGTAAAATTGACATGCTCGTTTGAAATTTACCTTGATCCGTATGTAATTCGTTCAGTATTCTATGCTTCTTGTAACAAAATTCTTGCAACATTTCAACATTGCTTTGTATGTTTGCAAAGAGTCCGTGTAGCTCTTTGTGTGACACTTGATAGAGCCGATGCGTGTGTAAATGAGAATGAGTTATGTAAGAAAACTTGTGGTATAACATAGATTGAAAATCACATATCACGAAGCAAAATTTGGAATGATATGTTGTGAGTTTCATATCATATGGTTCAACTTTTCACATGGATTATGTATTGTCCAATTTTGATACAAAATAAATTATATATACTATATCTCTACCGAACTTCGGCCGTTGGGATAATAAATATATATGTTATGTGGCTCTTTCAACACTTGATAAGATACCACAGTGAAATAAGATTAAACCATATCTCTACTGGGAAATCATTTATGAGTAATATCATTATTGGCTTCCCTAGAAACATGTTGTTTTAAAACTTGTGTATGTTTAAAATGAAAAACACAGAGTAGCTGAGAGATGTTGACATCTATAATTACTTACTGTTGAGAAAATGAGAACTTTAGCCTTTAGTTCTGTTTTCTGGATGTTCATCAGGCAACTAACTACACCTATCACTTTGGTTGAATGATCCCCCTGAAATATCAAGTAGATATATTGTCATTTATAACAAATAAAACTAGCTATCTAAGATTGCAAGCATTAATTCTCACATGTACGTTGAAAGCCTGCCGTCAGTGTCAAAATTTAGTCCTCATGAAAAACGGCGTTCTAGATGTCAATATAGAGATTTTGGCATGGATTTGAGAAGTGTATCACCCATTTTACCTTCCACAACTGTTTTTTCGATGGCCAGAGAGGTATTTCGGAAACCTTTGATAGTTTTGAATAGTGATCAGTAAAGGGAAACTTGCAATTACGTTAGTAATGAAGTTTTTGCGCAAATAAAGAACTTTTCCATCTTCAGGAGTGACCTTCAAACATGTTCAACTCAATAACTAATGGGTCGATTTCAGTTCTGAAATGCTCAGGAAGTTTGCTTACGAGACATTTTATTCACATTTGAATTTGGTGTTTTACAGAGGCCCTATAGGATGAAACAGTGAAAATATGAAATTCCATTGTTCAGCTTTCAATATTATCTGACACTAGCCCCAACACACGCGTGAAGGACACATTTATATTTCTAGTAACCCCAAGGCTATGTTTAATCCACCCTAACCCTAACCCCAGATTTAACCCCTAATCCTAGGTCTAATCCTAACCCTAAACCTAACCCTAGCTCAAGCACTAACCCTAATCCTAGCTCTAGCCCCTACTCTGGCATAACCCTGATCCTAGATTTAACCCTAACCCTAGCTTTAACCCTAACTTCATCTTTTAACCCTAACTCAAACCTAAAAATTAACCCTTTCAATTAGATTTTTGAAATTTGAGAAATCTTCTATTTTTGAGCTCTTTTTATCTCAAAACTGGTGCAAAATGTCTCAAAATAATTATTTACTAAAATGTATAGAAGCTATAGAAGTATAGAAGGAATGCGTTCTCCGAATATCAGGCAAAAACATTAATTTGAAGTCACCAATTTTGAGAAACCTAGATAATACAGTTTTTAGTTTAGTTTGATGATCTTGACCTTTGACCTTGCAAATTTTAATTTTTTTACCTCTTTTGTTAATCATCATTACACACCTCATTGGCTTGTGATATAAACCAAAACAACCCAATAAGGTGTGTATTCATAATTAACTTTTCTGTTATCTCAAAATCTGCTTGGAACTATACCATTGGATTACTATGGGAAATTCCTCAAAGAGAAAATTCTTGGGATTGAGGAAGGGGTACCATTTATACAATTTGAGAAATTATTGGCATACATGAAACCTATTTAAAACAGCATTTATATTATTCAAAAGTGTTCTTAATCAATGATTCCCAACCCTCTGAAAATTGAAAAATAACAATACCTAGGTGTTAATGCATAGATAATCCTTGAAAATGAGAAATATTTTTCAGGATTATATGGTGCAATCTTATAGTCAATAAAATGTTTTAAAGTGTATTGATGTTTTTTAGATGAAAAACACAAGTGGAATGCATAAAAAAAGCTCCCCAGATTCATTCTACAAACAACTCAGGGTAGTAGTGTCAATTAACTGCTTGAGCATTAACCGGTTAACCGGGTGTTTTTACCGGTTAAAGTCGGTTAACCGGCGGGAAATTTGAACTGATAATTTCAAATGAAATCTTCATCTTCGATCTTGAAAGCTGAAACAATTGGAAAAATGATATAGCTCTATCAGCGTTTATTTTTTACGTTCGTCAAGCTTTACTCTATTCTATTCATACACTACCTGACTACAGGTACCTCTAAATAACTTACCACACTGGTTTATCATTGGAATCTCCACGAACGCACCATAACAACGAAAATTTCAGCTGATTAGTGTTTATTTTAATTTTAATTTTCTCACTACCAAAGCGAGGCTTTGACATTTTGGTGACGTTGATAGACAACAATAATAACAAAACTGACGAATTAAAAATGCAAAAATTGTTTACATGTTTGTAAGGAATTATCAGGCATTTGAGTTGATTACACATGGCTGACACTTGAAAAACAAACAGATTAACATGCGAAGTAAGCGCGGGAAAGCAATGTGGCAGGGATTAAAGTTGCTGATTGGATGTTTGTAAGGAGTTATCGGACCTGTCACATGTATGAGTAGCTCACATGAAACTGACGCTTGAAAGACAAACAGATTAGCATGCAATATATGCGCGGGAAATAACAGAATTATACACGGTCAACTAACCACCCATAAAAACACAGACCGGTCAAGGCATTATCGGCGGTTAACCGGTTAATACTTGACACCTCTAACTCAGGGTCTTTTCGGCTTTAAATATTGAATATTTGTTGACCTGAAAGTTGGAGAAAAAGTGTGGGGAAGAATAATTGAAAAAATCCAAAATCCTTTAAATTTTATAGAGGGCCCAAGGAGGGGTCCTCTAAATTTTTGAAAAAATATTGGCTGGAATGTCCATGATAATAAAATTAACTACTTAATAATGCTACAGAGAACAATGGACTTAGGAAATCAAATTTCTTTCCCCCAGATTAATATAATTCTTATACAATGTGTCCCAAAATATTGAACCAAATGAAATGGGAATAACTGTTTGCCTTCATCAGAAAAAACCTTTAACACGATAATGAGAATTCATTTTCAATTAGCAGTTAAAACTTCATAGCTAAGAAATTTGAAAAATACTTAATACGAAATATGACATTTTAGATGACATACAATTTTTAAGTGTTACCTTGACTTTATTGCACTGTTCGCTTGAGCCTTGCCTCAGTGTCTCTCCTGTACTCACATACGCTATGTCACTATTTCTACAATAAAATCATTTTTCAAAACAATAATATTTTGACTTTTATGTGATTTAAGTGTCTACCATAATGTTTTATTCTACTGTAAGCATTGTTCTTACTCAAATTCACTCTCACCTGCTCAACAGCTATGGCAGATGAGAAATCATCATTGATGTGACCTCATTTCAAAAGCATTGAATAATTCTTGCAAAATACAATATTGTTTTTTATGTCATCCATGCAATCTTTTTATATAGCATGGGTATTGGGTAAGTATAATACATCCTACAGAAGTTAATGCCATCTATTGACAGATCTGAAGTTTATCCCAAACTTAACATAAAGAATTATGCAATTAAATGCTCATGTCAATTTGTAAATGTCATTTCAATAATAAATTGTCGAAAACTAACAAATTGATTGTATTAGATGTGTATAAAATACAAAGAAGGTACCACAATACCATACCTGGTAAACTGCCTACACATGGGACACTTGAGTCTCCTCCTCTGACTTCCAAATGGACATTCTTCAACTAAAACACGAATACACTCTAGGCAGAAACAATGGCCACACTGGAGTACACTCCACTGCAAATATACAAAAACTCACATCAATAAGAGCAGTTCAAATTGTAGCGAAATTATGACAATGTATTGATTTTGAATTCTGACACAATATCAAAGAAGTTGATAAGCACACAAAACCTAGTACAAAACATTTCAAAGTACATGTATGGTAGTCAATGCTGCAAATATGTAACTTATATTCAAAATGACTATTCAGGCTTCTATAAACTGTGACCAAGGTCAATATCTAACAAGGTATTTATTTGTTGATTCAATACCTGGTCTATACTTTGTGTTGCATTCTGCTAAATGCTAAACCAAAAGAAGGAAATGAAGCGACAATTTTGCAAAATTTTGGTGAGTTTTCATGTTCTTACCGTAATATTGACCTCAGATCAGGTATTATACCTAGTAATGAATACCTTATAGGGGCTAGGCACAAAAGCTTTCAAATTTAAGAAATATAGACCAAAGAGCAGGTATGATATCGACGAAATCAATAGTGTTTGGAAGCTTTTGTACCAATCCCTAAGGAATTTATCTGTTGATAACTCAATATAATACCTGATCTGAGTTCTATATGAGAACTTAACAATTTTTTTCAAAATTGTCATTTTACTTCCTACTTCCGTTTCAGCATTTAGCACTGAACAAAACACTTAGTACAGACTAAGTATTGTATCAGCGAATAAATACTGGGTGAAATATTGACTTTGTTCATAGTCATAGAAGGTGTGAATACAGTCATTTTGAATAATATTTCTAACCTCTTTGCAAAGTGATTCATATAATGTATCTTACCTCTTTGCTAAGTGACTAATTTTTGTTACCTCTTTGCCAAGTGATTCATATAATATATCTTACCTCTTTGCTAAGTGACTAATTTTTGTTACCTCTTTGCCAAGTGATTCATAAAATATATCTTACCTCTTTGCTAAGTGACAAATGTTTGTTATCTCTTTGCCAAGTGATTCATATCATATATCTTACCACTTCGCAAAGTGACAAATGTTTGCTACCTCTTTGCCAATGATTCGTGTCATATATCTTACCTATTTGTTAAGTGACATATATTTGTTACCTCTTAGAAAAGTGATTCATAAAATATATCTTACATCTTTGCTTAGTGACAAATGTTTGTTACCTCTTTGCCAAGTGATTCATATAATATATCTTACCACTTCGAAAAGTGACAAATGTGTGTTACCTCTTTGCCAATGATTCATGTAATATATCTTACCTCTTTGCTAAGTGACAAATGTGTGTTACCTCTTTGCCAAGTGATTCATATAATATATCTTACCTCTTTGCTAAGTGACAAAAGTTTGTTACCTCTTTGCCAATGATTCATGTAATATATCTTACCTCTTTGCTAAGTGACAAATGTTTGTTACCTCTTTGCCAAGTGATTCATATAATATAAGTGACATATATTTGTTACCTCTTTGCCAAGTGATTCATATAATATATCTTACCTCTTTGCTAAGTGACATATATTTGTTACCTCTTTGTGAAGTGATTCATATAATATATCTTACCTCTTTGCTAAGTGGCAAATGTTTGTTACCTCTTTGCCAAGTGATTCATAAAATATATCTTACCTCTTTGCTAAGTGACAAATGTTTGTTACCTCTTTGCCAAGTGATTCATATAATATATCCTACCTCTTTGGTGACATATATTTGTTACCGTTTTGTGAAGTGATTCATATAATATACCTTACCTCTTTGCTAAGTGACAAATGTTTGTTACCTCTTTGCCAAGTGATTCATATAATATGTCTTACCTCTTTGCTAAGTGACAAATGTTTGTTACCTCTTTGCCAAGTGATTCATATAATATATCCTACCTCTTTGGTAAGTGACATATATTTGTTACCGTTTTGTGAAGTGATTCATATAATATATCTACCTCTTTGCTAAGTGACAAATGTGTGCTACCTCTTTGCCAATGATTCATGTAATATATCTTACCTCTTTGCTAAGTGACAAATGTGTGTTACCTCTTTGCCAAGTGATTCATATAATATAAGTGACATATATTTGTTACCTCTTTGCCAAGTGATTCATATAATATATCTTACCTCTTTGCTAAGTGACAAATGTGTGTTACCTCTTTGCCAATGATTCATGTAATATATCTTACCTCTTCGCAAAGTGACAAATGTTTGTTACCTCTTTGCCAAGTGATTCATATAATATAAGTGACATATATTTGTTACCTCTTTGCCAATGATTCATGTAATATATCTTACCTCTTTGCTAAGTGACAAATGTGTGTTACCTCTTTGCCAATGATTCATGTAATATATCTTACCTCTTTGCTAAGTGACAAATGTGTGTTACCTCTTTGCCAATGATTCATGTAATATATCTTACCTCTTTGCTAAGTGACAAAAGTTTGTTACCTCTTTGCCAAGTGATTCATATAATATATCCTACCTCTTTGGTAAGTGACATATATTTGTTACCGTTTTGTGAAGTGATTCATATAATATATCTACCTCTTTGCTAAGTGACAAATGTGTGCTACCTCTTTGCCAATGATTCATGTAATATATCTTACCTCTTTGCTAAGTGACAAATGTTTGTTACCTCTTTGCATGTGATTCATATAATAAATCTTACCTCTTCGCAAAGTGACACATGTTTGTTACCTCCTTTCCAAGTGATTAATATTTGTTACCTCTTTGCCAAGTTGAAGCTGACAAATTGGACATAGTTCTGGATTTGAGTTATCCTTCATCTGACCCTGGTTCTGAAGTAAGAATGATAAACTTAATCATTTCACATTAGAATTAATAAATAACAACAAATGTTAATCATTGATGCATAATATTAGTTCTGAATTTGTTACCTTTAATACATGTACATGAATGTGTATTGTTCACACTGTTACATATTTTCCATGTGATGAGAACACTTTGCTATGAAGCCCTAAATCTCCATGTCTGCCATCTGTGTGATTGCAAAATACTAAATCATTTCATAATTTTCATGCAGTCATCTTCAGGATTTATATTTTTTATGAAAGATTTTAGGGAGCAAAAAACAATACTGGAGGAGCTTATTATAAATTGTGAATTGGTATGAGTGACTTAATGAGTATTCCTTACCTTTGAAAGATTCTGCAAATAGAGCAAGTGACTTAAACTTTTCCGCAATTCATTCTTGCCAACAATCTTATCAGAAACTTGCTTCAATTTGGTTTGTTCAAACTGTAAAAAAGATGTTTTCAGATTTACAGAAGTAAATCAATTCTAGAATTCTTTGCACCTTTGCATGACAAATGATGACAAAGTAGACAAACTTTATACATAAGGGATTTATAAATGAATGAATAGTTATAAATGTTTTACGAAGTGCCCCCCTCCCAAAACACAAAGAAACGTCAAACAGACCTGTCAACCTCCCGTTTTTTACAGGAATCTTCCATAAAATTTTTGCTTCTCTGTAAAAAAATTTTAAAAAAAAACTCTCGCACCATTTTCATCTCCCGTTAACTCTCGTAACATATTTCTACCAAAATCTTCCTTAATTTTTTTTGTAAAATCCATATTTTTGCTGAAATCTATATTTTTCATGAAATCTACAATATTTTATATAAAGGAATCTAACAAGACTTTGATATTATCTGAGTACAACTTCTTTTACCATCAATTTCGCACTAGGAAAATGTATAAATCTGGCCATAAATACAGTGGTTTTTATTAAAACAATATGTTTTCTTTCAAGTAAAGTCCCTATGATGATAAAATACCAATCCAACTCTCTGAAAAATTATGGTTCAGGACCCCACCTTGGCACTTTTTATAAAATGTTAGGTTTATTTTCTAAAAAGAGGAACTTGTTTTTCTCAATTTAACCATATCAAAAGTTTCTTCTACACTATATTAACAACTTCTGAAAAGCGAATTGGTATTAAAATGTGTTAAAGTAAAAAACCACATATCCCATGTTATTTTCCCATAGGGAAAGCTCGTGCTATCCATTGCTTTCAGCATAATTTTGGTCATCGAAAATTGCTATCTTCAAAAATAGACTTTCAATACCATTCTAATTTTGAAGAAGTTTTAGACACCTTTTTGAATAATCTTTTCATGCAATAAAAATCAGAAAGAGGAAATCCTCTTTTGAGCAAATAGGTTCATCATTTTGAGAAAATTGTTGACATGGGATCCCTATTCATAATTTACTACTCATGGTGAAAGATATGACTGTCTAAAATCACTTGCCATACTGCACATGGACATTCTCCGCAAAAACTACCACATTTTTAAAAAACTCTTGTTTTTTTGAAAAATCTCCAGTAAAAGTAGTGCAATTTTTAAAAATCTCATTAAAGGTTGGTAGGTCTGTCAAAAGTTTCAAGGATTTGGGTTCTAACCTCTATGACATTGAATACTAATTTTACATGGTTCTATGACTTTGAATACTAACCTCACAAGGTTCTCTCTAAAATGGATACTAATGTCATGTTTTATAAAAGGTACTAATCTCACAGGGTTCTCTTAAAATGTCATAGAGTTCTATGATTTTGAGTCCTTGAATTCTCTTAAAGTGGATACTTATGTCACAGGGTTCTATGAATTTTGAGAACTACCTCTGCAGGTTCTATGATATTAGGCTGTGGTGGATCAGGCACTGGCTCATCTGGAAGTCGGAGCCTCAATCTAGTGGTTGCCATGGAGAGCTCATCAATGGCTGCCACTTGTTCTCGTAACACCATCCAGACAGCACGTAAATGCTGAAGGAAAATACAAGATAATGTTTATAAGATGATACCATAAACAATAGACATGCAGTTTCTTTAAGACAATGACAATATTTTTTTGATATATAAATTAATCAATCCAAAATAGATAAAAATAGCTTCAGAATTCAAGTATAGATAAAATGAAGATGTACTTCTAAGTGAGATTCATGGCAGCTTTTATGTTTAATTATACATTCATACATGGCCAGGTAAGCTGTGTCCAATTCTAGCCAACCAGAACACAGCATTCCAAATAACTGCAGTGCACCCAAGATCAGTTTTCTTTTTTGTTTTAGATTCTACTAAAACTTATGAAACCGATAAACTGATCAATTTCATGGTATTTGCATGTCAAATGTTATTATAGTGAAACAACTTCAGCACAAACTAAAAGAGATCATTATAGCAGGTCCACATATTTAAATATACATATATTTTAGAAATATGATCATTAAAACATGAAGGGAATACCCTAAATTCTTTCTTGAGGCTCTCAAATATCTTAATGTGAAGGTTTCCAGATTCTATAAGTTGATGCTTCTTCTGCATGAGTTTGTAATAGGCCAGTATAGACTTGAGCACCCTCTCCACTTCACTGTCTGCCCATGTTCCTCTCCTGCTGGTTGTACCATGGTCTTCCCCTTGTATAACTCTACAGTAAAACACATACACATACTTTAATATTTGTAATAGGCCAGTATAGACTTGAGCACCCTCTCCACTTCACTGTCTGCCCATGTTCCTCTCCTACTGGTTGTACCATGGTCTTCCCCTTGTATAACTCTACAGTAAAACATGTCACATATATAAGTGTTTGTATTAAGCATTTTGGATATTTTACTTCAAGGATTGACATAGTTGATATAGATTAATACCATTTAATGTTTGATCCATAATTCCACAAACCGCCAATCAAAGAATTAAGATAAACGTTTATAAATTTAATTAAATGTTTTATTGTACATAGTGAATGTTACATACGGTTGATCCACAAATGAGAAGAGGTGGGCCTCATATCTGTTAAACATCTCATCCAACTTGCAGAAAGGGCATCTACAAATACATAAAGCCATCATTTGCCAGTCACTTCAAATTAATGCCATACAATATGCCAGGAAGCAAGCCCATGCCCAGCTCATCCTTATTGTCCAGGAGTGTCTCTAATTATGTACTGGACAATATTAAAAAACTTATGAGGCAGAGATGGGGACCTTTTCTTTAGCCTGGTGGAATGGATCTCCTGGAATTACAATACCATCCTATGAAGAAGTTTCACAATTCAGGTTAAATTCATTTTGATCAACAAATGTTGAGAGTTTTTTTTGATTATACATTCTGTTTCCTTGAGGTTAGTATGTGCAGCACAGCCAATTTTGGCTTTGGGAAGAAACCATGGGATCTGGCCAATCTGGAAGGAAAAATATGGAAAATTGTCGAAGAAAATACCTTTACCCGCTTTTTAAGTCAAAATTTAGTGTTTCTAAAAAATGTTATAAATTGGTTTCTGAAACCTTGGACAGATCACAAAAAAGGTGGATATTTTAGTCTATTTCGAAAAGTCCCAACAAACTCAAGATGAAGTTGACATGGATATATCTATGAGTTGATAGGAATAAAATTCAGACCGTTATGAGTCTAAGAGGAATCAAACATGGAAACCTTCAAACTTGAGAGGAAATTGACATGGAAAAGTGCTCAAAAGGGAATCTTTGGTGCGGCACATTTGTATTAAGAGATACATTGGAGTGAAATCCTCGGGATCCTATTATAAAATAAATCTAAGACCTCCTTTCTATACTATATTTAGCCCCATCATTGAAATAATGTAAAATTAAAACAGGTTAACAAAGTACCAATTTTATATTAACAGCATATCAGCTAGTTTATGGTAGGCCTATACAATAGGTAGCAAGTCTGTTTTATCACATTTAATTATTATCTATAATTGGTTGAGCTATTAAAACCCTGATACCATGATAATACCACGGCGATAACATCATAGTACAGAAGCTGACAATTAAATTATTCTTCCTTCTGCTGATTCAATAGTGCAATACAACAATAAATACCATGAATCAACTGAAACACATCGTTATCATATGCTTATATACAATTTGTATTCATATCTAACAAAAATTACGAATAATTCTTATAACAATGACGGTGCCTCATATACACAAAAACCTCATGGCGTACTCTCAAAATTTAGAGAAAATGTGATTTTTAAAATTGAATTGCCACACACTTTAAAAATGTATAAAAATGGCCAATAATTTACATTTTCTTAGCCATATAAAGATGGATTTTATATTCTAAAATGCCCCCGTTAATGCAATCTCATTTTCAAATTTTTGGGGGGAAGAACCCCCAAAACTCCTTACAAAACTTCGCTCACTTGTGGCATACACTCATGAAATAACCACGCTTTGCCACTGTATAAGGCTAGGATATAAATAAAATAATGTGAGTTTTAAAAAAAGTGATATTTTTTGTTGATTTGTTAAAGAATATTTTAAATATCAATTGTCAAAGTACTGTATATTTAATTTATAATCTAAGACATATGCACAAGATAACAAAATGGAATAGATCATTGTCTTGGCTCTTCAAAAAAACATAACACTAATTTAAAAGATAACAACATAACTATTATTTATTATGCCAGCAACTCATTTATGCATATCCATGATCTACAAGTGCCTGATTCAACAAAGCAATTTGCTATTACAGTATAATAATCAACAAGTGTCATTTTATATATGGATATCTGATAATAAAAACATAAAGTTCTCTATCACATCTACAAAAGAATATTCAGCTCTACGTGAATCAAAACACGCAAAATGAAACATACATATCCCATATTAATTCTAGGATTATTTTTGATGAGGAAATCATTGTCATTGAACTCGACTGGTATAAATCAATTCAACAGGTTTCTATGCGCTTACAAGTATTGCTCTGGGGCACATGGTCCAAATGATGATGGGACATGTAGACTTGATGTTAATGTCACAAGGACGTTTGATAAGGCAACAGACAAGAAGATCAACAAGATGAGACACATTCATACATGCTGTTTTGCACAGCTGAATAATGATAATGTCATTGTTGGAGTTGGTAGGTACATTAAAACAAGATGAGACACATTCATACATGCTGTTTTGCACAGTTGAATAATGATAATGTCATTGTTGGAGTTGGTAGGTACATTAAAACAAGATGAGACACATTCATACATGCTGTTTTGCTAAAACAAGATGAGACACATTCATACATGCTGTTTTGCACAGTTGAATAATGATAATGTCATTGTTGGAGTTGGTAGGTACATTAAAACAAGATGAGACACATTCATGCATGCTGTTTTGAAGCGTTGAATAATAATAATGTCATTGTTGGAGTTGGTAGGTACATTAAAACAAGATGAGACACATTCATACATGCTGTTTTGCACAGTTGAATAATGATAATGTCATTGTTGGAGTTGGAAGGTACATTAAAACAAGATGAGACACATTCATACATGCTGTTCTGCACAGTTGAATAATGATAATGTCATTGTTGGAGTTGGTAGGTACATTAAAACAAGATGAGACACATTCATACATGCTGTTTTGCACAGTTAAATAATGATAATGTCATTGTTGGAGTTGGTAGGTACATTAAAACAAGATGAGACACATTCATGCATGCTGTTTTGCACAGTAGAATAATGATAATGCCATTGTTGGAGTTGGTAGGTACATTAAAACAAGATGAGACACATTCATACATGCTGTTTTGCACAGTTGAATAATGATAATGCCATTGTTGGAGTTGGTAGGTACATTAAAACAAGATGAGACACATTCATACATGCTGTTTTGCACAGTTGAATAATGATAATGCCATTGTTGGAGTTGGTAGGTACATTAAAACAAGATGAGACACATTCATACATGCTGTTTTGCACAGTTGAATAATGATAATGTCATTGTTGGAGTTGGAAGGTACATTAAAACAAGATGAGACACATTCATACATGCTGTTTTGCACAGTTGAATAATGATAATGTCATTGTTGGAGTTGGTAGGTACATTAAAACAAGATGAGACACATTCATACATGCTATTTTGCACAGTTAAATAATGATAATGTCATTGTTGGAGTTGGTAGGTACATTAAAACAAGATGAGACACATTCATGCATGCTGTTTTGCACAGTAGAATAATGATAATGCCATTGTTGGAGTTGGTAGGTACATTAAAACAAGATGAGACACATTCATACATGCTGTTTTGCACAGTTGAATAATGATAATGCCATTGTTGGAGTTGGTAGGTACATTAAAACAAGATGAGACACATTCATACATGCTGTTTTGCACAGTTGAATAATGATAATGTCATTGTTGGAGTTGGTAGGTACATTAAAACAAGATGAGACACATTCATACATGCTGTTTTGCACAGTTGAATAATGATAATGTCATTGTTGGAGTTGGTAGGTACAATTAAAACAAGATGAGACACATTCATACATGCTGTTTTGCACAGTTGAATAATGATAATGTCATTGTTGGAGTTGGTAGGTACATTAAAACAAGATGAGACACATTCATACATGCTGTTTTGCTAAAACAAGATGAGACACATTCATACATGCTGTTTTGCACAGATGAATAATGATAATGTCATTGTTGGAGTTGGTAGGTACATTAAAACAAGATGAGACACATTCATACATGCTGTTTTGCACAGTTGAATAATGATAATGTCATTGTTGGAGTTGGTAGGTACATTAAAACAAGATGAGACACATTCATACATGCTGTTTTGCACAGTTAAATAATGATAATGTCATTGTTGGAGTTGGTAGGTACATTAAAACAAGATGAGACACATTCATACATGCTGTTTTGCTAAAACAAGATGAGACACATTCATACATGCTGTTTTGCACAGATGAATAATGGTAATATCATTGTTGGAGTTGGTAGGTGCATTAAAATAAGATGAGACACATTCACACATGCTGTTTTGCACAGATGAATAATGATAATGTCATTGTTGGAGTTGGTAGGTACATTAAAACAAGATATGAGACACATTCATACATGCTGTTTTGCACAGTTGAATAATGATAATGCCATTGTTGGAGTTGGTAGGTACATTAAAAAAAGATGAGACACATTCATACATGCTGTTTTGCACAGTTGAATAATGATAATGTCATTGTTGGAGTTGGTAGGTACATTAAAACAAGATGAGACACATTCATACATGCTGTTTTGCACAGTTGAATAATGATAATGTCATTGTTGGAGTTGGTAGGTACATTAAAACAAGATGAGACACATTCATACATGCTGTTTTGCACAGTTAAATAATGATAATGTCATTGTTGGAGTTGGTAGGTACATTAAAACAAGATGAGACACATTCATGCATGCTGTTTTGCACAGTTGAATAATGATAATGCCATTGTTGGAGTTGGTAGGTACATTAAAACAAGATGAGACACATTCATACATGCTGTTTTGCACAGTTGAATAATGATAATGCCATTGTTGGAGTTGGTAGGTACATTAAAACAAGATGAGACACATTCATACATACTGTTTTGCACAGTTGAATAATGATAATGTCATTGTTGGAGTTGGTAGGTACATTAAAACAAGATGAGACACATTCATACATGCTGTTTTGCACAGTTGAATAATGATAATGTCATTGTTGGAGTTGGTAGGTACATTAAAACAAGATGAGACACATTCATACATGCTGTTTTGCACAGTTGAATAATGATAATGCCATTGTTGGAGTTGGTAGGTACATTAAAACAAGATAAGACACATTCATACATGCTGTTTTGCACAGTTGAATAATGATAATGTCATTGTTGGAGTTGGTAGGTACATTAAAACAAGATGAGACACATTCATACATGTTGTTTTGCACAGTTGAATAATGATAATGTCATTGTTGGAGTTGGTAGGTACATTAAAACAAGATAAGACACATTCATACATGCTGTTTTGCACAGTTGAATAATGATAATGCCATTGTTGGAGTTGGTAGGTACATTAAAACAAGATGAGACACATTCATGCATGCTGTTTTGCACAGTTGAATAATGATAATGCCATTGTTGGAGTTGGTAGGTACATTAAAACAAGATGAGACACATCCATACATGCTGTTTTGCACAGTTGAATAATGATAATGCCATTGTTGGAGTTGGTAGGTACATTAAAACAAGATAAGACACATTCATACATGCTGTTTTGCACAGTTGAATAATGATAATGTCATTGTTTGAGTTGGTAGGTACATTAAAACAAGATAAGACACATTCATACATGCTGTTTTGCACAGTTGAATAATGATAATGCCATTGTTGGAGTTGGTAGGTACATTAAAACAAGATGAGACACATTCATGCATGCTGTTTTGCACAGTTGAATAATGATAATGCCATTGTTGGAGTTGGTAGGTACATTAAAACAAGATGAGACACATCCATACATGCTGTTTTGCACAGTTGAATAATGATAATGCCATTGTTGGAGTTGGTAGGTACATTAAAACAAGATGAGACACATCCGTACATGCTGTTTTGCACAGTTGAATAATGATAATGCCATTGTTGGAGTTGGTAGGTACATTAAAACAAGATAAGACACATTCATACATGCTGTTTTGCACAGTTGAATAATGATAATGCCATTGTTGGAGTTGGTAGGTACATTAAAACAAGATAAGACACATTCATACATGCTGTTTTGCACAGTTGAATAATGATAATGTCATTGTTTGAGTTGGTAGGTACATTAAAACAAGATGAGACACATTCATACATGCTGTTTTGCACAGTTGAATAATGATAATGCCATTGTTGGAGTTGGTAAGTACATTAAAACAAGATAAGACACATTCATACATGCTGTTTTGCACAGTTGAATAATGATAATGTCATTGTTGGAGTTGGAAGGTACATTAAAACAAGATGAGACACATTCATACAAGATGTTTTGCACAGTTGAATAATGATAATGTCATTGTTGGAGTTGGTAGGTACATTAAAACAAGATGAGACACATTCATACATGCTGTTTTGCACAGTTGAATAATGATAATGTCATTGTTTGAGTTGGTAGGTACATTAAAACAAGATGAGACACATTCACACATGCTGTTTTGCACAGTTGAATAATGATAATGCCATTGTTGGAGTTGGTAAGTACATTAAATCAAGATAAGACACATTCATACATGCTGTTTTGCACAGTTGAATAATGATAATGTCATTGTTGGAGTTGGAAGGCACATTCATACATGCTGTTTTGCAAAGTTGAATAATGATAATATCATTGTTGGAGTTGGTAGGTACATTAAAACAAGATGAGACACATTCATACATGCTGTTTTGCACAGTTGAATAATGATAATGTCATTGTTGGAGTTGGTAGGTACATTAAAACAAGATGAGACACATTCATACATGCTGAATAATGATAATGTCATTGTTGGAGTTGGTAGGTACATTAAAATAAGATGAGACACATTCATACATGCTGTTTTGCAAAGTTGAATAATGATAATATCATTGTTGGAGTTGGTAGGTACATTAAAACAAGATATGACACATTCTTACATGCTGAATAATGATAATATCATTGTTGGAGTTGGTAGGTACATTAAAACAAGATGAGACACATTCATACATGCTGTTTTGCACAGTTGAATAATGATAATGTCATTGTTGAAGTTGGAAGGTACATTAAAACAAGATGAGACACATTCATACATGCTGTTTTGCACAGTTGAATAATGATAATGCCATTGTTGGAGTTGGTAGGCACATTAAAACAAGATAAGACACATTCATACATGCTGTTTTGCACAGTTGAATAATGATAATATCATTGTTGGAGTTGGTAGGTACATTAAAACAAGATGAGACACATTCATACATGCTGTTTTGCACAGTTGAATAATGATAATGTCATTGTTGAAGTTGGAAGGTACATTAAAACAAGATGAGACACATTCATACATGCTGTTTTGCACAGTTGAATAATGATAATATCATTGTTGGAGTTGGTAGGTACATTAAAACAAGATGAGACACATTCATACATGCTGTTTTGCACAGTTGAATAATGATAATGCCATTGTTGGAGTTGGTAGGTACATTAAAACAAGATGAGACACATTCATACATGCTGTTTTGCACAGTAGAATAATGATAATGCCATTGTTGGAGTTGGTAGGTACATTAAAACAAGATGAGACACATTCATACATGCTGTTTTGCACAGTAGAATAATGATAATGTCATTGTTGGAGTTGGTAGGTACATTAAAACAAGATGAGACACATTCATACATGCTGTTTTGCACAGTTGAATAATGATAATGTCATTGTTGAAGTTGGAAGGTACATTAAAACAAGATGAGACACATTCATACATGCTGTTTTGCACAGTTGAATAATGATAATGCCATTGTTGGAGTTGGTAGGTACATTAAAACAAGATAAGACACATTCATACATGCTGTTTTGCACAGTTGAATAATGATAATGTCATTGTTGAAGTTAGTAGGTACATTAAAACAAGATAAGACACATTCATACATGCTGTTTTGCACAGTTGAATAATGATAATGCCATTGTTTGAGTTGGTAGGTACATTAAAACAAGATGAGACACATTCATACATGCTGTTTTGCACAGTTGAATAATGATAATGCCATTGTTGGAGTTGGTAGGTACATTAAAACAAGATAAGACACATTCATACATGCTGTTTTGCACAGTTGAATAATGATAATGTCATTGTTGGAGTTGGTAGGTACATTAAAACAAGATGAGACACATTCATACATGCTGTTTTGCACAGTTAAATAATGATAATGCCATTGTTGGAGTTGGTAGGTACATTAAAACAAGATAAGACACATTCATACATGCTGTTTTGCACAGTTGAATAATGATAATGTCATTGTTGGAGTTGGTAGGTACATTAAAACAAGATATGACACATTCATACATGCTGTTTTGCACAGTTAAATAATGATAATGCCATTGTTGGAGTTGGTAGGTACATTAAAACAAGATAAGACACATTCATACATGCTGTTTTGCACAGTTAAATAATGATAATGCCATTGTTGGAGTTGGTAGGTACATTAAAACAAGATAAGACACATTCATACATGCTGTTTTGCACAGTTGAATAATGATAATGTCATTGTTGGAGTTGGTAGGTACATTAAAACAAGATAAGACACATTCATACATGCTGTTTTGCACAGTTGAATAATGATAATGTCATTGTTGGAGTTGGTAGGTACATTAAAACAAGATGAGACACATTCATACATGCTGTTTTGCACAGTTAAATAATGATAATGCCATTGTTGGAGTTGGTAGGTACATTAAAACAAGATGAGACACATTCATACATGCTGTTTTGCACAGTTGAATAATGATAATGTCATTGTTGGAGTTGGTAGGTACATTAAAACAAGATAAGACACATTCATACATGCTGTTTTGCACAGTTGAATAATGATAATGCCATTGTTGGAGTTGGTAGGTACATTAAAACAAGATGAGACACATTCATACATGCTGTTTTGCACAGTTAAATAATGATAATGCCATTGTTGGAGTTGGTAGGTGCATTAAAACAAGATGAGACACATTCATACATGCTGTTTTGCAAAGTTGAATAATGATAATGTCATTGTTGGAGTTGGTAGGTGCATTAAAACAAGATGAGACACATTCATACATGCTGTTTTGCAAAGTTGAATAATGATAATGTCATTGTTGGAGTTGGTAGGTACATTAAAACAAGATGAGACACATTCATACATGCTGTTTTGCACAGTTAAATAATGATAATGCCATTGTTGGAGTTGGTAGGTACATTAAAACAAGATGAGACACATTCATACATGCTGTTTTGCACAGTTAAATAATGATAATGCCATTGTTGGAGTTGGTAGGTGCATTAAAACAAGATGAGACACATTCATACATGCTGTTTTGCAAAGTTGAATAATGATAATGTCATTGTTGGAGTTGGTAGGTGCATTAAAACAAGATGAGACACATTCATACATGCTGTTTTGCAAAGTTGAATAATGATAATGTCATTGTTGGAGTTGGTAGGTACATTAAAACAAGATGAGACACATTCATGCATGCTGTTTTGCACAGTTGAATAATGATAATGCCATTGTTGGAGTTAGTAGGTACATTAAAACAAGATGAGACACATTCATACATGCTGTTTTGCAAAGTTGAATAATGATAATGTCATTGTTGGAGTTGGTAGGTGCATTAAAACAAGATGAGACACATTCATACATGCTGTTTTGCAAAGTTGAATAATGATAATGTCATTGTTGGAGTTGGTAGGTGCATTAAAACAAGATGAGACACATTCATACATGCTGTTTTGCAAAGTTGAATAATGATAATGTCATTGTTGGAGTTGGTAGGTACATTAAAACAAGATGAGACACATTCATACATGCTGTTTTGCAAAGTTGAATAATGATAATGTCATTGTTGGAGTTGGTAGGTACATTAAAACAAGATGAGACACATTCTTACATGCTGTTTTGCAAAGTTGAATAATGATAATGTCATTGTTGGAGTTGGTAGGTGCATTAAAACAAGATGAGACACATTCATACATGCTGTTTTGCAAAGTTGAATAATGATAATGTCATTGTTGGAGTTGGTAGGTGCATTAAAACAAGATGAGACACATTCATACATGCTGTTTTGCAAAGTTGAATAATGATAATGTCATTGTTGGAGTTGGTAGGTACATTAAAACAAGATGAGACACATTCTTACATGCTGTTTTGCACAGTTGAATAATGATAATGTCATTGTTTGAGTTGGTAGGTACATTAAAACAAGATGAGACACATTCACACATGCTGTTTTGCACAGTTGAATAATGATAATGCCATTGTTGGAGTTGGTAAGTACATTAAATCAAGATAAGACACATTCATACATGCTGTTTTGCACAGTTGAATAATGATAATGTCATTGTTTGAGTTGGTAGGTACATTAAAACAAGATGAGACACATTCTTACATGCTGTTTTGCACAGTTGAATAATGATAATGTCATTGTTGGAGTTGGTAGGTGCATTAAAACAAGATGAGACACATTCATACATGCTGTTTTGCAAAGTTGAATAATGATAATGTCATTGTTGGAGTTGGTAGGTGCATTAAAACAAGATGAGACACATTCATACATGCTGTTTTGCAAAGTTGAATAATGATAATGTCATTGTTGGAGTTGGTAGGTACATTAAAACAAGATGAGACACATTCTTACATGCTGTTTTGCACAGTTGAATAATGATAATGTCATTGTTTGAGTTGGTAGGTACATTAAAACAAGATGAGACACATTCACACATGCTGTTTTGCACAGTTGAATAATGATAATGCCATTGTTGGAGTTGGTAAGTACATTAAATCAAGATAAGACACATTCATACATGCTGTTTTGCACAGTTGAATAATGATAATGTCATTGTTTGAGTTGGTAGGTACATTAAAACAAGATGAGACACATTCTTACATGCTGTTTTGCACAGTTGAATAATGATAATGTCATTGTTTGAGTTGGTAGGTACATTAAAACAAGATGAGACACATTCATACATGCTGTTTTGCACAGTTGAATAATGATAATATCATTGTTGGAGTTGGTAGGTACATTAAAACAAGATGAGACACATTCATACATGCTGTTTTGCACAGTTAAATAATGATAATGCCATTGTTGGAGTTGGTAGGTACATTAAAACAAGATGAGACACATTCATACATGCTGTTTTGCACAGTTAAATAATGATAATGCCATTGTTGGAGTTGGTAGGTACATTAAAACAAGATGAGACACATTCTTACATGCTGTTTTGCACAGTTGAATAATGATAATGTCATTGTTTGAGTTGGTAGGTACATTAAAACAAGATGAGACACATTCATACATGCTGTTTTGCACAGTTGAATAATGATAATATCATTGTTGGAGTTGGTAGGTACATTAAAACAAGATGAGACACATTCATACATGCTGTTTTGCACAGTTAAATAATGATAATGCCATTGTTGGAGTTGGTAGGTACATTAAAACAAGATGAGACACATTCTTACATGCATCAACAAGATAGTTTTAGGGCTGGTGGTAATATTATATTTAAGGAGTGTCTTGTATGTAATGTATCAATATGAGAAGCAACCTGATATTTGATTTCACCAAATTGACCTTTTTAGGATGTTATGATAGCTGCCAAACAATGGATCCATATTTGGAGGCAAAGCCTAAATGTACGCAACCAGCACATCTTACACAACGAGAAACACTATATAATAAACATCAATACGACGAGATAATAGATTTATTATCCAAATTGAATAATAACTGATAAGATCAAGTACTGTTGAATAACATTCTGTCCGGGATTTGTTATTAATCATATAGAAATGTCTTATCCGAACAGCAGCTTACGTATTATCCGTTGCGGCCATTAACAATTTTACATATCTAATTAGCTAAGTAAATAAACATGCGTCGACACAGTCGCAGTTGACTATGAAAAGTTCAATCATCAATCTTATTTTTATTTTCTTGATTTAAAGATTTATTATGTTTAAAAAAGAAAATGTTTGATTTTTAAGTTCAACCTTTAATTCTTATTATCAAGAACGCGCCAACCATGTACATTGTTTGCAGTCTGCGCAAGTTAATGTAAATTATTGTATATTTTTCGATATACTGTAATACTATTCATTATTTGTAAAATTGAACCGAATATAATCTAAAATTAATCAGCTTTAAATACATTATATGTCATAAAAGTTGCCTTAAAACAATACATTTCGTGCGTTTGTAAATGCTCTAAAGCCCCTCTAGTACGAGGGGGGATTCATAAGTAGTGGGACAAATGCTATAATTTCACTTATATCAACCAGATTTTATTCAAACTTGGGACACATAATCACAAACATGTGATAATTATTGTGTGAAAATTTCAAAAAGTTACACCCAACTTCGGTAAAGTGAGAGTTCCAATCATGACGTCACAACAGGGTCCACGGAGCACATTGTTTGTCACTAATTGCAAGTTAATTATACAAGTCTCAACTGATATTCAGGACATAATCTAATCCATGACTTCTAGGGAGTCCTTTTGTGGAGCAAATCAATTTTGTGCAAGACTTTTGATTCCTTATCCTTCTGGTGCAATCTCACTCTTTCTCAAAGTATTCGCCATGACAATCAATGCATTTTTGGCATCTCCTCAACCATTCTAGGTATGCACCCTCAAAATCATATTTTCCAAGATTGGACATCTCGGCTCTCACAGCATATTCAGAATACATGTACAGAATACCACCTATATACTGTAGATTTTTTTACTTCTTCTTTCCCATAGACTTCCAACAAACCTCTTTAGTTCTCTAATACTGAAAACTTCTTCAAAGCATTAAATTTAATCACAGCACGGATGTTTATACGTGATTCTTGCTTTTTCATTGCTATTTTGATCAAATTTTGCTCCATCCAAGAAGGGCTGAAAATGGCAGTGTCCTGGTGTCACTGCATTGTGTGACATCACAATAGCGTGATAATGTAATATATGTTACAGTTGTCATGACTACAAGGCTTGAGACAATATGAAACCAAATATTTGAAAATAACTGTCATTTTGAGATTTTATGAGCATATTTATGTTGATCAAGCCCTTCATTTTTTAACTGCTCCGTTAACCCCTACTATTGGTTACCATAGCAACCATTGTTGCTAGGGAACAAAATGAATTAAATTGAAATTTCACCAAACAATGCCTTATATCCTAGTCCGTTCATGTGCCAAATTTGGTTGAGATATGTACACAGGGACTTGCTGCCTCAGAAAAGTCCCACTACTTATGAATCCCCCCTCGTATATGAACGAATCCTAAATAGAAATGAGTAAAATTCGTTCTCATTAGTGTGTACACGTCCTACATCGAGACTTCTCCTTTAAATCAAATCAGTCCACAAGTATGAGTTAAGAATGGACAGAGGGACGGATGGCTTCATTCATTCATTCAATGGGATAATTAAGATATTTCAAAACCAGTGTCATTCTTCTGTCTATGCGAGGATATAGGTCCATGATCACTCCAATCATAACATAAAACAAGCTGTTTATTTTAAAACTATTCTTTACGAATTAATGATAAGTGTATAATGTTCAATCATACAAATCGCAGTCAGTGATTGTTCTCCACACTCACCCCTCCCCCTTCCTGACATGAACTATTTTGTAAAACCATTGACAGTGTGGAAAGGATTCTTACACTCGAGTGTCAAGGGGGGGGGGCAGTTACAGAAATATACAAGGCGATGGTTCAAATTGGACAATTTTCAAAACTGCTCAACATGGTGAAAACTTCACGTTTTTAAAGAATGCTTGCCCGGCGAGTGGTTTGCTCTGGATTGCGAAAGAACAAAAACTTTGAGTTAGGATTTTTCCTAATACTATCATTAATCTAAACAACTTTTTAAACCGTCTCTGACTACATATCATGCCAATTAATACCATTATTGTGTTGACAGGATTAAATATGATATTTATGGAATCATAATTTAATGAACTCAATAGTCTAAATGATAATAAGTTCATAATTTTATTTAGTCTTGGCTGACTAGTCTTGCATCATCAGAGTTTGATTGCAAATACCTTCCTAAATCAAATATTTAAAATTTACAAATTTACTTGTGTACGGGGTGGGGAAACAAGTCTCCATCCAACCACTAAAGTTTAAAAGGAAGACTATAGTGTCCCGTGAATTCATTATAATTATCTTAGACAATAGTGAAGCGGTACAATCATTGGAGTGTTAATTAATCGGAATGCAAGTTTGATTTAAAATAACTCCTTTGGATCAAATATTTAAATTCTACTAGAATGCGGGAGGTGGAAACAAGTCTCCATTCAAGCACTAAATATCAAAAGAAAGATTTCAGTACCCCTTAACTTCACTCCCGGACTTCACTATTCACCACCACCCCTCCCCCTTCCCCAAGTATCCCTTATGACCCCAGAATGTTCGTTTCTGTGCCCCCCCCCCCTGTCCATGGCCAGTAAGTAATCTATGTGTATATTGGCTCCCTCCCAAATGTGGGAAAACCAGATGCAGGCATAGACATTGACAAGGTGAGGGGATTTAAATATAAAAATAGTCTTGTTTTTGGCTCCGACTTATATATTTTGGCACTGTTTAACGAAGCCGGTTTAAGCAATGAGAGGCAGAAATAATTCCTAGAAATAAGATGGCCTCATCACGATAGCCGCCACCCCTTTGTCTTTATCCTTCCACAAGCTTGAATAACAAATAAAAGGCATGTTCTTATTTCTGTATTCTGTCCTTTGATTGTGTATTAAGTTGAGCTGCACGCCAAACGTTAAGTTTGTTAAAACGCTTAAAATAAAACTTTATTCCTCTCAATTTACATAAAAATGAAACAGATTAGATTCGAATCTCAGTCACACCAGCACCACTGGTCAAAGGAAGTACAAATATCTATATTAATCAAATGTCTGAGAATTTGATAACTGTCTAGGATCCAATGTTAATTTTATGAAGCAAACTAAGAAAAGTATAAAGATGAATTTAAACGTTTAGAGGGAAAAGTCAAATATGCATTGTAACCCTAAAAATAATTCATTAAAGTGTCGTACACATTTTATAACATTTATATAAATAAAACAAATAAAGCACAACCCTAATGCCCTATAATGAATTCATATCGGCGCTAAACGGCCCTTGCAATAAAAACGCATCGAAGCAGGGAATGCTTGGAAAATTCTTCCGAGACTGACTTTTGTTATTTCAAAATTGAAATATGCCTAATTTCTATGAACACGCGATCTTTTTCCCTGGGTTTTACTCTATTTTAGATTTACTAGAAAAATGTTTATCTGATGATTGCGTTTGCTTCTCACGAGTTCATTGAAACGTTCAGTCGTAAAACTTTAGAGATCAAAAGACTAATTAGGCACCTGATTGCGAAAGTTTGATTGCATTTCGATCGCCGGGATTCTACAAACGTATTGTTTAAGTAGCGATCGTGTTCTTGGGATCTTGATAACTTCCTATTTTAAGTTTTGGGTTGAAAGCAATGAGTATGTCGGACTTTCTCAAGTCCACATAATGAAACAATATCCCTTTATACTAGTCCAATCGGAATTTGCATAAACATACCAGTTTTATATTGCAAAAAGAACTGTAATTAATAGGCTACATAGAAGCATCATGATAAATAAAACATTAAAGCATATATAAAGCCTATTGTTATCGCACCCATCGCACCCCCCCCCCCTCCTGGCTACGCCTATGGATATTTTGGCAACTTTCACATTTACCCCGTCCCCTAATAATTCTTGCGCCCCCTCTAAATATCAGACCCGCCAGGCGTTGAGGCATGGATCAGGATACCCTGACTCCCAAGCTGTGCGACTTCTGGCAACCGCTACACGATATTCCCGGGGAAAACGCTTTTAGAAAAATTGTCAAATATGGTCGTGTGTGGGCCAACACGGAGGAGGAGGAGAGGGGTGTGTGCATTGTGTGGGACCCTTCATCAGTTGTGTACCTTATTTTTTGTATGAATTTCTTCCGAATAGTTATGCTAGAGGGGTTCTGATATTTATTTCTGTTTTCAAATGAAATAATTTCACCCTTGCCCGACTGACTTGTAGATAATGCACGAATCAAATAGCATGGAGATCAGATAATCAGATTGATTCGTATTTTCGCAATCAGATGAATTAACTTATTGTTTTCTCTGATTAAAAGGCGGTTTGAAGCTACTTTTACAGGATTTGTAAATTCGCAATCAGACTGGCTTATTTTAATATTTAGTCAGTGCAAGAGGAGGGGACTATAATGTAGAAAATTGTTTTGATTTCGACACTAACTGAATAATTTATCACAATTGTTAAATAAGCAAACAGAAACAGGTTTAAAAATGAGAATAGAGGCAAAAAAGTCTATACATAAAATGTAATTAAAACCCCGGATTAAAACCCGGGAATTAAAAGCAATTTTAGACTGTTAGATGATCTCTTCTGTAATCAAGGTGATGTTGGTACACTTCCGCCGTTAGAAAAACAGAGACTAAGACAAAGACTATATAGTAATCAATCCTTTTGTAATCATTAAATGTTAGATTCTTATTATTTTGTTGGACAATGTTCAGACTTCTGACCAAGATTAAATCATTTATGTTTGTATTTAAAAAATAGAATTTCAATCAGACAGACGTTCTAATGAGTTAGAAAAATACATTTGTCCATTTCCTCTCAAGAAGTTTTCAAAGGTAATCAAGTCGATTTGTTTGAGTGTTTAGCATTGCTTTTCATAACTTGACGCTCCCATAAACAGAATGACTTTGAAATGAGTTTTTATAATTTTAGCTTTTATACGGACATGCTTATTGTATATTTCTATATGAACGTTGTAGTTATGTGATGTAACATCGCCCCCCCCAAATTACAGGTATACAAATTTTGGTCGGAATGCATTAACTTGCAATTAAAAGCAATTTTAGACTGTTAGATGATCTCTTATGTAATCTAGGTTATGTTGGTACACTTCCGCATTTAAGAAAACAAAGACTAAAACAAAGAGAACTAAGCAATTAATCCTTTTGTTATCATTAAATGTTAGATTCTTATTTTTTTATTGGACAATATTAAGACTTCTGTCTCCGATTGTTATGCAGGTATGTGTATAAAATTATGTGAACAACATTATCGTGGAAACTCCCATATTCATTCTCATAATGTCTTACAGCTATTTCGCAAATGACATAATCCTAAACAACATACGGACATAATATTGCAGAACTGAGCGAAAAGAAAGGTGGAACAAATCAGATTGAGATATTTTATTTTTGAAATGCACAAAGGGCAACAGTTGAAGAACAAAAGTTAAAGGCGTTGTGAAATAGATCGTGCTTTTATATGATCCCCTTCTATAGTACCCTACCCTTTGCATTTGTTCAACTTCACTTCTTAAATGAGAGTTTCGTCTTCTCGTAGTTTATAATTAGACTCTGCACGCAGCGTGATAGTGCCCCTATTATCCATGTTCATGTTCTCATTTGATTTTTCATCAGTTATGACTTGGTAACATTTGCTCCGATTTTCATTACGGCGCCCGGCCGATTGAGTATTTTGTTCAGAATTGAATACAATTTTGAACAAAATACTCATCGGCCGGGCGCCGGTGCTGAAAATCTGAGCAAATGTGACCACGGCATTATAAAAGCATACTCTTTAATACACGAACAGATTCAAAATGAGACTTTATCTATCAGAGAAATGAAAATGGAAAATTTGTATTCTGAAAATATTAACTGATGCATTGGTCGGAAACCTCAAGGGGCGGGAAATTTGATTAAACAAAACGCCGGATTAATATGTGGACAACTTGCAAATGAAATGTAAGTAACATGACAGAACGAGTATGTACACCCAATAGTCATCATCATATCAGTGCGAAAAATTAGCTATATTTTTTTTCTATGCGATATACACCTGATATTGATAGCCTTCCACGATCATGGTCCGTTGACATCATCAACCTTGTGATTTGCCATAAGTGATTAACCAACATTTTTTAATTAAAAGTCGGGGTTGACGTTTCTTGACTTTTCACACTGACATCAAAACAAAACATAATTTGAAAATAAAAGGCATAAAATAGCCATTAAAAGTACATTTTTGAACAAAAGTATCAACTTATATTACACTGCACGCAAATACAAAGTGAAAAGAACGTCATCCCGGAGATTGAAATACGGATCGGTAAGTCAACAAATCTAACTGGTAAATAAACAAGCTTAGCCTATGTCTGCGATTGTTTGTCTGAGTGGCTAGATGTTATCCGTTTCGGATAATAAATTTCTGAGAATACTACTGATATCTAGAATACATCTTCCGTGATATTTTTCATAAAACAGGCATCTTAGCTGCAATTTTGAATAAAAGCGTAATTCATAGCACAATATAAATTAACCCGCCTCTGTTTAATTCAAATATGCATTACCCTTAAGATTTATATACTTAGACACCTTTTCATTCTTGATTCGAATTTTTATCTTGTCGTCATCTAAATTTGTGGATTAATAACAGTTTTTAGTATACAAATTGAACATAGAAAATGTAGGGTATTGATTACACGTTACAGTGGCGTAGCCAGCTTTCAGTCGGGGGGAGGGGGGGGGGGGCTTGGTGCGATCGTGGCATAAAAAATGTTTTTGAAGATTTGTTTTGAATTTTACAAAAATTGGTGCAACTTCGTTCAAAATCGAGCTAGAAGCTTCAAATAAAAAGCATTTTAAGACTTTTTTCTTCTATCTAATGGTTCTATTTTCATTGGTTATGGAGGGGGGGGGGGGGGGTGCGATCGCACCCATCGCATCCCCCTGGCTACGCCTATGCGCTATATTAATATAACAAGGTTATCATATCATGCCAATAGTTAGATGGTTAACTAATATCAACACAAAATAATAATACACGATAATTAAAAAAATAAACCTCGGTATTCGGGCCTAAAATCCAAGGATACGTGTACCATTACTTAAGTGTAAGCTGCAATACCATATCGAATACCTGTACCATTACTCAATAATAACCACTAGTAAGACCATAATAACAAGCTTAATAACTAGCTTATCCGAAGTTATTCCATACGATTTTGTCTTGTGTTACTAGTATTGGCACTATAGATGTCACTATCTTCTGTCGCAAGGACAACAAACCATGTGATCAGTTGGAAGAGATGCACAAAGGAATACATAAATGCTGTACGCTCATCAGCATTTCTGACCATTCTGCAGTTGTGTGTGATGGCAAATGTCCAATGGCAGATGATGATGAAACTAATGGTCAATTAGATGAACAATAAATCTGGTAGTCACCTATTGGCATGACAATGTCTTTCTATTTCCATGTTCATTTAATTGGAAAATGAAGTTCATTTAATTTGAAATATAAAGTCTGAGACATCAAAATATTCATTTTGTTCTAAATTCGTATTTTGCAACAATTTTGGAACAAGAATTTACTTACTTACACTTCACTTACATACAAAACCTCATAAGCTATAGTGGGCTTTCTAAAATGTGAAGTATAAGTTAGGTACCGTCTAAAAACAAAATTCAGTAATGTATGACTCTCCTGATTGTTTCCTTAATGCTACTTTTTAAATGTTCACATGTATTGTATGTGCCATCAACTTACGTTTTACTTGCTTCCCCTGTAACAGGTCTAAGACAGCACTCCACTGTTGTGTTAACAATACCAGGGCTGGGTTTTGCAGATAGTTTTTTCAGTGCACTAACTAACTGGTCATGTGATGTTTGGAGCTCTTCAAGTTTAGTATGCACTACAAGTTGTAGACCTTTCACATTACGGAACCTATTAAAGAATAATTCAATCATTTCAAGAAAAGATTGACTGAACTTAACAATATCATGAAATATGTGCTGTTTACTTAGATTTATTGCATGTACATGTACAAGGCCATTTAATTTATTCTATCATGTGGGCATCTCTTGTCTTTCTATAGGCGCAATAAATAAATTTAAACCATTTATGGGTTCAATGTGCCCTATCTATTTGATGCATTCAATATATCTCCTCTAGATATTTGTTACTATACATTCCATAGACCTCAATTTTACCAGGCTCGCCCAAAAAACGATCAGTCCAAGATTTCCATGACAAAGACACATTTGAAATCAGTTGAGAAACACATTCCAACAACTGATTACGAGCGCTAGCCACTTACCTAGCATACCAATCACAATATAGCACCCACCTGGCATACCAATCACAATATAGCACCCACCTGGCATACCAATCACAATATAGCACCCACCTGGCAAACAAATCACAATATAGCAACCACCTGGCATACCAATCACAATATAGCACCCATCTGGCATACCAATCACAATATAGCACCCACCTGGCATACCAATCACAATATAGCACCCACCTGGCATACCAATCACAATATAGCACCCACCTGGCAAACCAATCACAATATATCACCAACCTGGCATACCAATCACAATATAGCACCCACCTGGCAAACCAATCACAATATAGCACCCACCTGGCATACAAATCACAATATAGCTCCCACCTGGTATACCAATCACAATATAGCACCCACCTGGCATACCAATCATATTATAGCACTTAACTAGCATACCAATCACAATATAGCACCAACCTGGCAAACCAATCACAATATAGCACCCACCTGGCATAAAAATCACAATATAGCACCCACCTGGCATACTAATCACAATATAGCACCCATCTGGCATACCAATCTCAATATAGTACCCATTTGGCATACCAATCACAATATAGCACCCACCTGGCATACCAATCACAATATATCACCAACCTGACATACCAATCACAATATAGCACCCACCTGGCATACCGATCACAATATAGCACCCGCCTGGCATACCAATCACAATATAGCACCCACCTGGCATACCAATCACATTATAGCACCCACATGGCATTCAAATCACAATATAGCACCCACTTGGCATACAAATCACAATATAGCACCTGGCATACCAATCACAATATAGCACCCACCTGGCAAACAAATCACAATATAGCAACCACCTGGCATACCAATCACAATATAGCACCCACCAGGCATACCAATCTCATTATACCACCCACCTGGCATACCAATCACATTATAGCACCCACTTGGCATTCAAATCACAATATAGCACCCACTTGGCATACAAATCACAATATAGCACCTGGCATACCAATCACAATATAGCACCCACCTGGCAAACAAATCACAATATAGCAACCACCTGGCATACCAATCACAATATAGCACCCACTTGGCATACCAATCACAATATACCACCCACCTGGCATACAAATCACAATATAGCAACCACCTGGCATACCAATAACAATATAGCACCCACTTGGCATACCAATCACAATATAGCACCCACCTGGCATAGAAATCACAATATAGCATCCACCTGGCATACCAATCACAATACAGCACCCAGATGACATGCCAATCACAATATAGCACCAACCTAGCATACAAATCACAATATAGCATCCAAGTGGCATACCAATCACAATATAACAACCACTTGGCATACCAATCACAATATAGCACCCACCTGGCATTCCAATCACAATACAGCACACACGTGGCATACCAATCACAATATAGCACCCATGTGGCATACCAATCACAATATAGCACCCACCAGGCATACCAATCACAATACAGCACCCACCTGGCATTCCAATCATAATACAGCACCCACCTAGCATACCAATCACAATATAGCACCCACCTGGCATACCAATCACAATATAGCACCCACCTGGCATACCAATCACAATATAGCACCAACCTGGCATACCAATCACAATATAGCACCCACCTGGCATACCAATCACAATATAGCACCCACCTGGCATAACAATCACAATATAATACCTGGCATACCAATCACAATATAGCACCCATCTGGCATACCAATCTCAATATAGCACCCACCTGGCATACCAATCACAATATAACACCCACTTGGCATACCAATCACAATAAAGGTTGTAATAAAAAAGAACTTTAAGCCTATATTGGCCTTCAACAAAAACCTGACATATAACATATTATGCCATTTCATTTCACTTTGGGGTAACTTTGACAAATAAGGTAACTTTGACATATAGCGTAACTTTGACATTTATGGTGACTTTGACATATAGGGCAACTTTGACATATAGGGTAACTTTGACATGTAGGGTAGCTTTGACATGTAGGGTAACTTTGACATATAGGGTAACTTTGACATATAGCGTAACTTTGACATATAGGGTTACTTTGACATATAGGGTTACTTTCACATGTAGGGTTACTTTCACATGTAGGGTAACTTTGACATGTAGGGTAACTTTGACATATAGGGTAACTTTGACATATAGGGTTACTTTGACATATAGGGTAACTTTGACATATAGGGTAACTTTGACATATAGGGTTACTTTGACATGTAGGGTAACTTTGACATATAGGGTAACTTTGACATATAGGGTAACTTTGACATATAGGGTACCTTTGACATGTAGGGTAACTTTGACATATAGGGTACCTTTGACATGTAGGGTAACTTTGACATATAGGGTAACTTTGACAAGGAGGGTAACTTTGACATGTAGGGTAACTTTGACATAGAGGGTAACTTTGACATGTAGGGTAACTTTGACATGTAGGGTTACTTTCACATGTAGGGTTACTTTCACATGTAGGGTAACTTTGACATGTAGGGTAACTTTGACATATAGGGTAACTTTGACATATAGGGTTACTTTGACATATAGGGTAACTTTGACATATAGGGTAACTTTGACATATAGGGTAACTTTGATTTATAGGGTAACTTTGACATATAGGGTAACGTTGACATAGAGGGTAACTTTGACATGTAGGTTAACTTTGACATGTAGGTTAACTTTGACATGTAGGGTAACTTTGACATATAGGGTTACTTTGACATATAGGATAACTTTGACATGTAGGGTATCTTTGACATATAGGGTAACGTTGACATAGAGGGTTACTTTAACATATAGGGTAACTTTGACATATAGGGTAACTTTGACATATAGGGTTACTTTAACATATAGGGTAACTTTGACATCTAGGGTAACTTTGACATGTAGGGTAACTTTGACATATAGGGTAACTTTGACATGTAGGGTAACTTTGACATATAGGGTTACTTTGACATATAGGGTAACTTTGACATATAGGGTTACTTTGACATATAGGGTAACTTTGACATATAGGGTAACGTTGACATAAAGGGTAACTTTGACATATAGGGTGATAACTACGCTAACGTTTGAGATGCACACACCTGTGTATAATACTATTGATGACTGGGCTTTTATTACTCTGGAGATCTTCCCGCACCTTCAGGAGGAGACTGTCATCAAAATAATGAGATGCTGACCAATCTAGGACAGCAATCCACCAATTTCTCCCTTCAGCAAACTGAAAATGTAAATAGCTTGGATTTCAATGAAGTGACATCAGTATTGTAAATAGCTTGGATTTCAATGAAGTAACATCAGTATTGTAAATAGCTTGGATTTTAATGAAGTGACATCAGTATTGTAAATAGCTTGGATTTCAATGAAGTGACATCAGTATTGTAAATAGCTTGGATTTCAATGAAGTGACATCAGTATTGTAAATAGCTTGGATTTCAATGAAGTGACATCAGTATTGTAAATAGCTTGGATTTCAATGAAGTGACATCAGTATTGTAAAAAGTTTGGATTTCAATGAAGTGACATCAGTATTGTTAATAGCTTGGATTTCAATGAAGTGACATCAGTATTGTAAATAGCTTGGATTTCAATGAAGTGACATCGGTATTGCAAATAGCTTGGATTTCAATGAAGTGACATCAGTATTGTAAATAACTTGGATTTCAATGAAGTGACATCAGTATTGTAAATAGCTTGAATTTCAATGAAGTGACATTAGTAAAGCTTGGATTTCAATGAAGTGACATCAGTATTGTAAATAGCTTGGATTTCAATGAAGTTAGATCAGTATTGTAAATAGCTTGGATTTCAATGAAGCGACATCAATATTGTAAATAGCTTGGATTTCAATGAAGTGACATAAGTATTTTATGACCTAGCCTAAAGATAGTGAAAATATTTTATTAAGAACGAAAATTACAGCTATGCTTTTTAATTGTTGCAAAGCATAGCATTTTAGGAGTTTGCTTATCAGTCGATATGTTACGACATGCGCAAAGCTCTATTTAGTGATATTTTCATTTCAAATATGGCGGCCAATCGGATGTCTGACAACCCTTACAAAGAATCTAGGCAGTGTGCATTTTTAACTCCTGTGAAATAACAAGTGGAATTTAGTAGTTGTTTTGTGTTTTATTATCATTCTGAATCGTTATTCTATGTGATGTGGTGTTAAAATGTCAGCAGAAATACATATCCTTACAATAATTGAGTGAATCAGATAACAGATTTTTCGAAAACCCGTCTCCTGCTAAGAGTGTAAAAACTTGTATTAACATGCTAAAAAGTGCCAATGTGCACATCAATGTCAAGCTAAATTAATGTTGTGTCTAAAACAGGCACCTGATCTACTCAAAACAGCTTGTCATTCACGTATACACGCTTGCTCAGCCTTCACGCATGCTCAGGAGAAAAACCATCAACCAATAACGTTTATAAATCAATTTTGCGCATGCGCCTTACAAGGGTAAAGAAATTCGTATTTATAAACGAACCAATTTGAGATAACCCGATATCAGTCGGAGAAATCTGACGATCTACGAAACTCACTTCAAAAAATCAAATACGGACTGACGGCGTATTCTACTATGCTGGGATCTAAGATTTTCAGTATAGATAAAGTCTTTTATGATCTTTCGGATGAGGTAAGTCTCTAGTTCGAAAGACAATCGTATCAACTTGAACAAAAGTTGAGTTTTGACGAAAAATTTTAACATGCGCAGAAGTCCCATTTTCGTTGTACCATATTGACTGTTATGATGTGTTAGGAATCTAAATAACATAACTGATAAACCTGTCTAATCTGAACACCAATGGGACTTGCCAAACATCAGGAGTCAAAAGTGTTCAAATCAGCAGTTTACTTATCAAGGTTCGGTAATATGTGTGTCAAAAGCAATGGGAGATGGACAAAATTGAAACTAAGAAAAGTGTTCACATTGAGAGGTGTTCAGGTTAAACAAGTGTCCGGATAATATACAGATTTTAGTGCACATGTTAAAATAATCAGCTCTCATATCAATATCGCTACATAGTAGACTAGATTGAATTGTATTTTCTAATGTATGTTACCTCGTAGCTAAGCTCCCTAATGTTCTCCTGGGCCGGTATTAGATGTTCCTGAGCCTGGGTGACCAGTGCTTCTGCCTTCTTCAGGTATTTCCTCTTGATCTCTTCACACTGAATAAAACACAATTATATGTGATTCATACATTCTGGATATGATTCTCATTCATTCCTAAAAATAGTCCACAATTCCGAAAGAACAATATGTGTCAATGGCATTAGAAAGCTTCTGTAGTAGACCAAGACTTTCGTAAATGTGACTTATCTATGGGAATCAGGTGCTATTTGAAATAAAATTTAAGCTAAAAGGTTTTATATTCAAAACTTCGTTTGATGAAAAGATTTTATTTGTGATCCTGTTGTTAGTTTACACATACCTGTGTCACTAACTGATCATCCCTCAAAGTAGGTGCAATCCCAGAAGGCTTGAGTGCCAGAACCTCATTGAGGTTGTACATTGCATGTAGCTGTTGGAGCTCATCAGTTCTTAATTGGTCCTTATGTTCTTCGACTGAGCGCAGTACTTCCCTGTACTCTTCGACTGCATCTTCATACTACAACAGACAGGCTGGGCATTAGATGTTCACTTTTCAAGTGATTTTGGGCTGAAATTGTCGGATCTGATCCCCATGGAAGTAAAACAAGTTACTCCCCATTTTGGTAGAAGCTGGCTATCCGGGCCCAGACATTTAAATTTATTTTTTCTTGATCTCACCTTGGGGGATAATTCATGGGTGTTTTTGGGGGCAGGATTAGTGGGCAAATACTTACAGGATTCAATTTGATTGTACACTGACCTTCTAGCTTGTAAGAAATGTAATCGAAAAGTGATTTCTGCACATGTGCAGTGCATTGACCTACATTCTACTTTCTGGAAACCAAAGTTTGTTTACATCTAATCATACCACAGATGTATGGTTACTTTTGAAGAAATGACTTACACCCATAAAGCAGGCATAAAACCAATTCATTTCATATTAATTGTTATATTTGAACAACATAACAATAATGTTAATAATTTTCACATTTTCTACTGATCTGAAAAAATGCCTGCTCTTATATTTTCTGTTTTTCTGCCCTTGCCTCCCATGCCTCAACTGTCTGGCTACAAGCATGTCATTTAACTGACCTGTTGCTTTACAAGGTCATTATGGGCATCTACAATCTGTCCAGATGCCAAATACTGTATATGCTTCCATTAAACCAACCTGTTGCTTTGCAATATAGAGTGCAGCTAGGCCATTATGAGCAGCTACAATCTGTCTATGTGCCTCCTCGCATTCAGTCTTCGTTTTCTTAGTAAGCTGCTTTAACAGTTCTTCCATTGTCATCATGCTTTTATGAATAGGTAGGAACTCTCCCCTGACTGCCTGAGGATGGCAACATGCCTGACGCAGCTTTACAAGGGGTAACAAAAGCTGAAACATAAAAACCAAAGCTATATCATTTATAAGTAGAAACTCCCCCTGACCGCTTGGGGATGGCGGCAAAGTTTGGTGCAGCTTTACAAGGGGTAACAAAAGCTGAAACATAAAAACCAAAGCTATATTATTTATAGGTAGAAACTCCCCCTGACTGCCTGGGGATGGCGGCATGCCTGGTGCAGCTTTACAAGGGGTAACAAAAGCTGAAACATAAAAACCAAAGCTATATTATTTATAGGTAGAAACTCCCCCTGACTGCCTGGGGATGGCGGCATGCCTGGTGCAGCTTTACAAGGGGTAACAAAAGCTGAAACATAAAAACCAAAGCTATATTATTTATAGGTAGAAACTCCCCCTGACTGCCTAGGGTTAGCAGCATGCCTGACGTAGCTTTACAAGGGGTAACAAAAGCTGAAACATAAAAACCAAAGCTATATTATTTATAGGTAGAAACTCCCCCTGACTGCCTGGGGATGGCGGCATGCCTGACGCAGCTTTACAAGGGGTAACAAAAGCTGAAACATAAAAACCAAAGCTATATCATTTATAAGTAGAAACTCCCCCTGACCGCTTGGGGATGGCGGCAAAGTTTGGTGCAGCTTTACAAGGGGTAACAAAAGCTGAAACATAAAAACCAAAGCTATATTATTTATAGGTAGAAACTCCCCCTGACTGCCTGGGGATGGCGGCATGCCTGGTGCAGCTTTACAAGGGGTAACAAAAGCTGAAACATAAAAACCAAAGCTATATTATTTATAGGTAGAAACTCCCCCTGACTGCCTGGGGATGGCGGCATGCCTGGTGCAGCTTTACAAGGGGTAACAAAAGCTGAAACATAAAAACCAAAGCTATATTATTTATAGGTAGAAACTCCCCCTGACTGCCTAGGGATAGCAGCATGCCTGACGTAGCTTTACAAGGGGTAACAAAAGCTGAAACATAAAAACCAAAGCTATATTATTTATAGGTAGAAACTCCCCCTGACTGCCTGGGGATGGCGGCATGCCTGGTGCAGCTTTACAAGGGGTAACAAAAGCTGAAACATAAAAACCAAAGCTATATTATTTATAGGTAGAAACTCCCCCTGACTGCCTAGGGATAGCAGCATGCCTGACGTAGCTTTACAAGGGGTAACAAAAGCTGAAACATAAAAACCAAAGCTATATTATTTATAGGTATAAACTCCCCCTGACTGCCTGGGGATGGCAGCACTGACTACTTAATCAGGCAGGTTGCATGTTGCTCCAGTATATTCAATATGGACAATTACAAGTCTTGCTATAATGATACTTAAAGCATGGATCATAATGAACCAACCTGATGCATGGTGTATCTGTCAAGGCTGCTAAGTTTCACCTTTGAGTCTGTCCACCTACACAGTCTCTGCATTGCCTCACGCACACACTGACGGAACTGACGCCTGTAAAAGTGCTCCTCAACAGGAGAAAATGTCAGCCAATGGATTTCCTCCCGTTGGTCTGGAATGTTGATCTATGAAGAATAAAGCAAAGGGCAACATTTAGATAGATGACCTAGAATGAAACAGTTAACAAATGACAGGCTTCTTCAATCATGATAAACAATCATCTCAAATCTTCTAAGCCCTGAGATTTCAGGTGAAACAGAAAGATGCTATGAGTATCAGAATGGGCTTTTTCAATTTGATATTAAGTGTGTTGGAAATGTCAGTCACTGGACTTTCTCATCTTTGTTCACTCAGCTCCTGTCAGTAGCAGGAAAGAACATGCGAGTATGGGATTTTCTCTTGTTAGTCTAAATGGCAACATTGAGAAATCAAAACAACCATAAAACAATAATACCTGATCAATAACATCAGCCTTGGCAGTTCTCCACATAACTCGTGCTACTTCTGTGTGCAAGGGGTCTCTATTCCCATGACAATAAGGCTGATACAAAATAGTGTTCCACCAGTGCTCCACCCAATAGGGATCCCTTCCAAGGAACACAAACAAACCATAGAGATCTAAAATAAAGTAAATTCAACTCAATAAAATTAACACAACTAGAAAATCAGCAACTCAAAAGAGTAGCAAATCCCACCAAACAAAACAAATTTTGATTATTAGTGGCTATTTTGAAAATTCCTTCTTGAGCAAAGCTCGTTTGTCACAAGGCATCAACATATAAAATGTAAACCATATCCATCAATTAGCATTTGCTGTTGCTATATATTTTCTTGAAGCATCAAAGATCACATTCCTTTTTTTACGAAAAATGACAGCCATTTTGAAATTAAGCTGCCATTTTGAAAATCTTTCTCAAACAGAGCAACTGTCTACCTAGGCATCAGCATATACAATTTGAACCAAATCTGTTCACTGCTATTTGAGTTATCAAAGATTACATTTTTCCGAAAAATGGTGGCCATTTTAATATTCAGCTGCCATCTTGAAAATTCTTTGTCAAACAGAGGAACTGTGTCTCTAGGCATCATCATATACAATTTGATACAATCCGATCACTGGTATTTGAGTTATCAAAGACTACGTTTTTTATGAAAAATGGCAGCCATTTTGAAATTCATCCGCCACCTTGAAAATTCTTTCTTGAACAAATCTACTTTGTCCCTAGGCATCATCATACAAAATTTGAATCAAATCTGTTCACTGGTATTTGAGTTATCAAAGATTACGTCTTTTACTAAAAATGGCCACCATTGAAATTTTGCATCCATTTTGAAAATCTCAGCGAAGCTCCTTTGTCCTTAGACATCAGCATATAAAATTTGAACCATATCCGTTCACTGCTTTTTGAGTTATCAAAGACTAGGTTTTTTTTTAAAATTCAGCCGCCATCTTTAACAAATCTATTTTGTCCCTAGGCATCATCATATAAAATGTGAACCAAATCCGTTGACTGGAATTTGAGTTGGTGCCATTTTGATATTTATAAGCCATTTATATATTTATATTTATAAAGTTTATTTTGAACGAGTGTTATGATATTACACTATATTATAGTTGAGCTTAAATGTTAAATGTACTTATGGACGGATGGACAGACAGACGAATGGATGGACAGACTGACAGCTTTCCTATATCCCCCTCAAACTTCATTCAGTGGGATTAAAATGCTAGCATTTTTCTCAACCCAACCAATATCATCCTTCCAACTTCATCCCTCTCCCATCCTTTTAACTAAGCACTTGCCTTTAATTCCCTTTTGTATGGGAGTTCCAGTAACACACCATCTATTGACAGTTCTCAGTCTCAGAACCATCTCTGCTGCCTTTGTACTCACACACTCAACCATCTGAGCTTCATCAAGGCAGACCTGGAAGATATACTGATGTACAGTTCCCTCCATAAGCTTAGCAACCAGAAGTTGCCTTTTGGATGAGTTTTCAAAGCCTGGCAATGTTTGTCATAAATTCTGAAGGATTGGTATCAATAACAAAAATTAAGATTCAGATATTGACAGGTGTTGACAAGCCATCCATAGAAAACTTCAAACTTATTGAGAGGATTGTAAATCAAGAATTATAAATGATAATGATGAACATTTAAAAGAAAAAAGCTTAAGATTTGAAAATAAATCAATGATTGGTGGATAACTCGTTTGGATTAAAATTAAGGACATCAAAAATATTTACTTCAATAAAGTGCAAAAAAAGCTTTAAAACTTAATTGAAGCAATATAAATTAACTGTAATTTCTTCAGAGGAAAAAACATAATAGGCCTCAAGAATATTGAATTAGTTGAGTGCTAAAATGGAATAGAAGAGAAATGAGTTAATGTGAAATGACAAATTAAGGACAAAAGTTCCCATCATGAGAAATAAAATGAGAAGGCAAGACTCTCCACCATTCCACAGCAATTATGGGACTTGGTATAGCCATGAAACATTTGAGAAATACAATAAATAAGCATAACTCACTCTCCACCATTCCACAGCAAATATGGGACTGGGTATAGCCATGAAACATTTGAGAAATACAATGAAAATGCATAACTCACTCTCCACCATTCCACAGCAATTATGGGACTGGGTATAGCCATGAAACATTTGAGAAATACAATGAAAATGCATAACTCACTCTCCACCATTCCACAGCAATTATGGGACTTGGTATAGCCATGAAACATTTGAGAAATACAATAAATAAGCATGACTCACTCTCCACCATTCCACAGCAATTATGGGACTTGGTATAGCCATGAAACATTTGAGAAATACAATAAATAAGCATAACTCACTCTCCACCATTCCACAGCAAATATGGGACTGGGTATAGCCATGAAACATTTGAGAAATACAATAAATAAGCATGACTCACTCTCCACCATTCCACAGCAATTATGGGACTGGGTATAGCCATGAAACATTTGAGAAATACAATAAATAAGCATAACTCACTCTCCACAATTCTACACCAATCATGGGACTGGGTATAGCCATGAAACATTTGAGAAATACAATAAATAAGCATAACTTACTCTCCACCATTCCACAGCAATTATGGGACTGGGTATAGCCATGAAACATTTGAGAAATACAATGAAAAAGCATGACTCACTTTCCACCATTCCACAGCAATTATGGGACTGGGTATAGCCATGAAACATTTGAAAAATACAATAAATAAATAAGCATGACTCACTTTCCACCATTCCACAGCAAATATGGGACTTGGTATAGCCATGAAACATTTGAGAAATACAATAAATAAGCATGACTCACTCTCCACCATTCCACAGCAATTATGGGACTGGGTTTATCCATGAAGCATTTGAGAAATACAATAAATAAATAAGCATGACTCACTTTCCACCATTCCACAGCAATCATAGGACTGGGTATAGTCATGAAACATTTGAGAAATACAATAAATAAGCATGACTCACTCTCCACCATTCCACAGCAATCATGGGACTGGGTATAGTCATGAAACATTTTAGAAATACAATGAAAAAGCATGACTCACTTTCCACCATTCCACAGCAATTATGGGACTGGGTATAGCCATGACACATTTGAAAAATACAATGAAAAAGCATGACTCACTTTCCACCATTCCACAGCAATTATGGGACTCGGTATAGTCATGAAACATTTGAGAAATACAATAAATAAGCATGACTTACTCTCCACCATTCCACAGCAATCATGGGACTGGGTATAGCCATGAAACATTTGAGAAATACAATGAAAAAGCATGACTCACTTTCCACCATTCCACAGCAATTATGGGACTCGGTATAGTCATGAAACATTTGAGAAATACAATAAATAAGCATGACTTACTCTCCACCATTCCACAGCAATCATGGGACTGGGTATAGTCATGAAACATTTGAGAAATACAATAAATAAGCATGACTTACTCTCCACCATTCCACAGCAATTATGGGACTGGGTATAGCCATGAAACATTTGAGAAATACAATAAATAAGCATAACTTACTCTCCACCATTCCACAGCAATTATGGGACTTGGTATAGCCATGAAACATTTGAGAAATACAATATATAAGCATAACTCACTTTCCACAATTCCACAGCAATCATGGGACTGGGTATAGTCAGGAAACATTTGAGAAATACAATAAATAAGCATGACTCACTTTCCACCATTCCACAGCAATTATGGGACTGGGTATAGCCATGAAACATTTGAGAAATACAATGAAAATGCATGACTCACTTTCCACCATTCCACAGCAATCATGGGACTGGGTAAAGTCATGAAACATTTGAGAAATACAATAAATAAGCATGACTCACTCTCCACCATTCCACAGCAATTATGGGACTGGGTATAGCCATGAAACATTTGAGAAATACAATGAAGGGCATGACTCACTTTCCACCATTCCACAGCAATCATGGGACTGGGTAAAGTCATGAAACATTTGAGAAATACAATAAATAAGCATGACTCACTCTCCACCATTCCACAGCAATTATGGGACTGGGTATAGTCATGAAACATTTGAGAAATACAATAAATAAGCATGACTCACTCTCCACCATTCCACAGCAATTATGGGACTGGGTATAGCCATGAAACATTTGAGAAATACAATAAATAAGCATAACTCACTTTCCACCATTCCACAGCAATCATGGGACTGGGTATAGTCATGAAACATTTGAGAAATACAATAAATAAGCATGACTCACTTTCCACCATTCCACAGCAATTATGGGACTGGGTATAGCCATGAAACATTTGAGAAATACAATGAAAATGCATGACTCACTTCCCACCATTCCACAGCAATCATGGGACTGGGTAAAGTCATGAAACATTTGAGAAATACAATAAATAAGCATGACTCACTCTCCACCATTCCACAGCAAATATGGGACTGGGTATAGCCATGAAACATTTGAGAAATACAATGAAAAAGCATGACTCACTTTCCACCATTCCACAGCAATCATGGGACTGGGTAAAGTCATGAAACATTTGAGAAATACAATAAATAAGCATGACTCACTCTCCACCATTCCACAGCAATTATGGGACTGGGTATAGTCATGAAACATTTGAGAAATACAATAAATAAGCATGACTCACTCTCCACCATTCCACAGCAATTATGGGACTGGGTATAGTCATGAAACATTTGAGAAATACAATAAATAAGCATGACTCACTCTCCACCATTCCACAGCAATTATGGGACTGGGTATAGTCATGAAACATTTGAGAAATACAATAAATAAGCATAACTCACTTTCCACCATTCCACAGCAATCATGGGACTGGGTATAGTCATGAAACATTTGAGAAATACAATAAATAAGCATGACTCACTTTCCACCATTCCACAGCAATATTGGGACTTGGCATAGCCATGAAACATTTAAGAAATACAATAAATAAGCATGACTCACTTTCCACCATTCCACAGCAATTATGGGAGTGGGTATAGTCATGAAACATTTGAGAAATACAATAAATAAGCATGACTCACTTTCCACCATTCCACAGCAATTATGGGACTTGGCATAGCCATGAAACATTTAAGAAATACAATAAATAAGCATGACTCACTCTCCACCATTCCACAGCAATTATGGGACTTGGCATAGCCATGAAACATTTAAGAAATACAATAAATAAGCATAACTCACTCTCCACCATTCCACAGCAATTATGGGACTCGGTATAGTCATGAAACATTTGAGAAATACAATAAATAAGCATGACTTACTCTCCACCATTCCACAGCAATCATGGGAGTGGGTATAGTCATGAAACATTTGAGAAATACAATAAATAAGCATGACTCACTTTCCACCATTCCACAGCAATTATGGGACTTGGCATAGTCATGAAACATTTGAGAAATACAATAAATAAGCATGACTCACTTTCCACCATTCCACAGCAATTATGGGACTTGGCATAGCCATGAAACATTTAAGAAATACAATAAATAAGCATGACTCACTTTCCACCATTCCACAGCAATTATGGGACTTGGTATAGCCATGAAACATTTGAGAAATACAATAAATAAGCATGACTTACTCTCCACCATTCTACAGCAATTATGGGACTTGGTATAGCCATGAAACATTTGAGAAATACAATGAAAATGCATGACTCACTTCCCACCATTCCACAGCAATCATGGGACTGGGTAAAGTCATGAAACATTTGAGAAATACAATAAATAAGCATGACTTACTCTCCACCATTCCACAGCAATCATGGGACTGGGTATAGCCATGAAACATTTGAGAAATACAATAAATAAGCATGACTCACTCTCCACCATTCCACAGCAATTATGGGACTGGGTATAGTCATGAAACATTTGAGAAATACAATAAATAAGCATGACTCACTCTCCACCATTCCACAGCAATTATGGGACTGGGTATAGTCATGAAACATTTGAGAAATACAATAAATAAGCATAACTCACTTTCCACCATTCCACAGCAATCATGGGACTGGGTATAGTCATGAAACATTTGAGAAATACAATAAATAAGCATGACTCACTTTCCACCATTCCACAGCAATTATGGGACTTGGCATAGCCATGAAACATTTAAGAAATACAATAAATAAGCATGACTCACTTTCCACCATTCCACAGCAATTATGGGAGTGGGTATAGTCATGAAACATTTGAGAAATACAATAAATAAGCATGACTCACTTTCCACCATTCCACAGCAATTATGGGACTTGGCATAGCCATGAAACATTTAAGAAATACAATAAATAAGCATGACTCACTCTCCACCATTCCACAGCGATTATGGGACTTGGCATAGCCATGAAACATTTAAGAAATACAATAAATAA